CACCATGTCAGCCAGGCCATGGCAGTAACTGTCATGTCCAGTCTTTTCTTAAACACTTCCTTACAAAGAAAGAAACAGAATTTAGAGGAAATATAACAGCAACAGCAGTTTGTAAAAAGCAGTTTTAAGCGGGGCTCAAGTCAGTAGAGCTCCACAATAGACAGAGCTGTGTCTAATCACTAATGCACCTCAGGTTTTCTGTCCTTTCTCTATCCACATCAAATCAATCCCTTCAGAAAAAGGCTACATACCTTAGTTTTACAAAACTTCTCTGATAGCATTCAGAATAATTGTAGCAGCAATAAAACAAACAACAAAAAGAACATTTGACTGCTGATGGGGAAGGCAATAGGAGGAAATTATGGCATCCCTGAAGTATTGCTTGAGATTTAAAATTTTTCAAGAGAGATAGAACCACAGTCTTTTAGCCTACAATTTGAATTTAGGGAAGTTTTATTCTACATAAAGAATACAGCCAAAATGTATACTTCATCCCTTCCCCTAGGGGAGACATTACTGTCAGGACTGTGTGCAGGATACAACAAAAGTTAGGGAATGTAAAAGACCCAATTGGTTCTCTTCTCCTCAGAGCATGTCTGCATCAGCTCAAGCCACAGTCCTATTTAAACCTGAACTGTATTTTTTCCTGGCTGACTCCAGTCCCTAGGGGAACATCCATCAGCCAAGCAGAAGTGAATCATGCAACGCCCCAGCCTCACACTTGATACAGCCAACCTCAGGGATGACTTGGGAAAGAACTGTCACAGCCATCCTGAAACTAAGCAAATGCTGGAGTATTCCCACTCTGCAACCTGCCCATGGCTTTGGCTTGTGTTGTGAAGCTCATTGAAAAAACTCTCCAAGTCTTTGGCTCTGTGAATTCTCTAAACTGTATTGTTAGAAAGAGAGTGAATGGAATTGGCTAAATCCCATCTTCATTTAAAAACATCTTGGAAATAAAATCTGGAAGAGTGCACCACATCAGAGATGCTCAAGGCAAGCAATTTAGGAGCAGCAGCTGAACTCATACATATAAACACACACACACACACACACATATATATATACACACACATATACATATATATATGTGTCTCACAAGTAACTGCAAATTAATATATCTTTGTGGAAGCAGCTCAATTAAGGCTTTAGTTGATGAAGAAGTGTTTCCAAGACTCTTGCACAAGCCAACCATTCTAAGTGCTACAATTTGAATTGATGAACTCATCAGCTCAGCTGGAAAACATATCAATTTGAAAATGCATTTGAAGTGCAAATTGCATTAACACACAAATTTAATTTACAGGAAGCTCTTTATGGATTTTAAAACTACTACTTAAACTATACAAATTGCTCCATTTAAACTGCTATGACAAAAATGGCAAAAAATGTTTTAGGAATGGTAACCATTGATTTCTATTTCACGCTAAATTTGAGTCTCCATGGTTCATGAATGAACAAATGGTAAAATAAGACTTGAGAAAGCACACAGTTATTTGAAAAAAAAAACATTTAAAAGGATTGAAAAGTTAAATTTCTATATTTGTCTTTGGTTGATCACAGCTAATAAAATTATGTAGAATGTAGCCTTATTTGAGCTTTGATGTGGTCCTTTTAGTGGAGACAGAAGTCAAATCAGTAATTTAGTCAGGGCATGCTTCTGCCCCAGCCTCTGGCAAAGGGGAAGATTATACTGAGCCCAAATATACATTTCAAATGTGCAAAGAGTGTTGTATCTTATTTAAATTTACATCTAGTCATTTGGGGAAACTGGACATACCCTGCCACAAAGCTATGAGAGAGCATCCAAAGCAGGGCTACAAAGATGGCAAAGGACTGTGAAGGGAAGTCATATGAGGAACAGCTCAGAGCACTGGGTCTGCTCAGCCTGGAGGAGACTGAAGGGAGACCTCACCGCAGTTACAGCTTCCTTGTGAGGGAAAGAGGAGGGGCAGGCACTGATCTCTGCTCTGTGGGGACTGACCTGAGGGAATGGGCTGAAGTTGTGTCAGGGAGGTTAGGTCAGACATTAGAAAAAGGGGTGGTTGGGCACTGAGCAGGCTCCCCAGGGAAGTGGTTACAGAGTGACCAGAGTTTAAGGAGCGTTCGGACAATGCTCTCAGGTACATGGGATGACATTGTTGGGCTCTATGATGCTCGTAGGTCCCTTCCAACTCAGGATATTCTCCTATCCTCCAGGAAAAAGAATGTAAAGATCTGTAAGCAGACAAAGAATTGTACCTATGGGTATTTTCAGAGAATGGCCTTGCACAAGGGAATAAATGAATTGCGAATTCCCGTCCCGGCTCAGCCTGGCGGTGTCCCCCCCGCAGGACGGCCAGGGCCAGGCGGCCGCACCTCTCCGGCCGCACGGGGCCGAGCGCTGCCCCCTGGCGGCTCCCGCGCCGGCACAGCACCCGCGGCTCTGCCTTCTGCCGGTTCGGGCACAGTTTAACAAGGAATGTTTGAGTAAACATACAGCATTTATGCTCGCATGAGAGCAAGAGGGACACAGAAGCAGTAAAAGCTGAAGTAGGAGTTACTAATAAAAAATGCAGATTTCTTAAGAGCACGAAGAGCCTTGTTAGGAATGTGGTAGACTGGTACTTGATTTAAATCAGCCATTCACTTAACAGACCACAGAAAAACCTGTGCTCTGCTTTGGTTCATGTTGCCCAATCAGATATTACAAGAAGAAACTTCAGAAAAATGTGTCAATATGTGCACTCGTCAGAATTCAGCAAATTGAAGAACAAAACCCTCTTTAGGCTCTGTTCTTCAAAGGAGGGTTTAGGCAATATTTTAGGAACTCCCAGTAGAGTACTGTACCTGTTCAGCTCAAACTAGCTCACTGCTGGGGGTCTTACTCCTTTCTGCTGATGGATTTCTCCTTGTTTGGTGGTTTCGGTTTTTTTAAAACTTTCCTCACCTGAACTTAAGAGTTGGCTTCAAGGGTCAAGAAGCAAGTCTGAAGACAAAGACACCAATATTATATAGTTCACAGAACATGTTTTGTGTGAAAAATACCATTCCCTATCTCAATTTGCTACGAGAACTACAACAGAAAATTCTTCAAGGTGAATGTCATATGCATACAAGCCAAATGCTCAACTAATTTCAGTAAATTGCATACAGACCAATTAATTATCTTGCAGCCACACCGGTCTTGATGTCATTATAGAATACATTAAATATGGATTTAACATTTCAGATGAAAGTATTTCTTTTGCTGACAAACTTATTTACTGTGTCAGTTTCAAGTTAGCTTTTGAGGGATTTCAAGGATATTCAGTCTTGAGTGGCAGGTTTGAAGATTATTCTTAAAAAGCTGTCCACTATCTACATGTATTTTTCAAATTATTAATTGGTAAAAAGCTCTGTTTGCAAATCTTGCAGTCTGTAGATTATGCTATGTTTCTCACCAGAAGGAAGCCAGTACACTGCATTAGAAATGAAGACTGTCAATAATGACACGATTTCAATTTAAAAGAAGTGAACACGGTCCAATCCTTAACTTCACACCTTAAGAGGATTCAAAACCCTAGAGGACAGAATATACCAGTTGTGCATTTTGTTGTTTCCACACAGTTATTCTATATTATCTTAAATCTAAAGGTTTTGAGTCCTCCCTTCCTCCAAAAGGTGGGCAAAGTATGATTTGAAAAATCAAACCCGAAAAAGGAAAATAATTCAGTCTTTAGGGTGCATTTGCTAAAAGTCATGAGTGACGTAGCTCATGAAGATCATCTCTCTGAACAGATTATGCAGCAGTGGAAAGTAAAATCGATGAGAAACCTAGTAAAAAGTGTACTGTGGGAAGTTAAGAAAAAGGAAATAAAGGTAAGGGAATGAGAAAAGAAGCAGCATAGCCCAGAACCAACACTGTTTCCAAGAACTGATCATAGTTTGTCATCAGATAAACTAAGAGGTGTTTATCAAAGAAATAAGGATATAAAGAATAATCTATTAAAGGCAATTTTTTATTCTTATTATTAATAATTTTATTCTCACCGCAGATTCCCACGATACTGCTGAACTAGAGTAAGTTTGGTATCTAAAAAAATTTAACCCTTTTCAGTGGGCAAAATTTTAATAATGACACCATAAAGCAATTATACAAAAAACATATACCTATTTTGACAGTTTAAACAATAAATATATATATATATACTTATTTTTACTTTGTGGAAAAGCAAGTTTTGACAGTTTTAGATTGAGACTTGTTGTAGCTGAAAAAAAAAGAAACCAAACCTATTTTTCTTCAATAGGGCACTTGGAAGTTGGACAGTTCATCAAATTCATAACAAGAGACTTACTGTAATGGATAAACCAGTAAAGCTGATGCAGAGATGATGACTGGAAAAAACCAGAATTCCTAATGTCTGCCCTGTATAGCACTGCTTCAACAAGGAATGAGGAAATGTGTGTCAGAAGAAACCTGGTTTTGCTTGTAGGGTGGTGGAAACCAAGCTGTACAATACAGGAGCCAGAAGATGTGAAATATTACACAGCACTTATAGCTGCAATGTTTCATTTTGCCCTGTGGCTGCTGGAGCAATGACTAGAACACTCAGACTTCAAGGCCAAACTGCAAACCCCCTCCCCTTTTCAGTTCAACGGTGTAGTACATCATCACTAACCAGATTGCAAAATTTAAGAGAGGTAAACTACTAGGATTTTTTGGGAAGGGGATGGGAAAGGGGAAGAAGAAGAAAAATAAGAAGAAAAATTTTGGAAAATATTCTAGGTCCAAATGGATTTTACAATCCCAACCCATCCCCAGACATTTCAATGATGACTTATGTACCAGTTTGCCCTAATTAAGAAACACCATCAAGATATTTCAGATGTGACAGAAGCCTTCAGCTTCAAAATACAATAAAAGTGAAATGCTTGAACTGGACCACTAGATTAAGATATTATTAAAAAACCATGAGGGTCAATAAAAACAAAGCAATTTCTTTGTGTAGGTGTAAGGAAAAGCTATTTGAAGTATGTAAGTACTTCCACAACACAGTAATGCTTCTAACTGTTCAACCATACCAGCTATCTGTTCATACGGCAGAAAATCTGTTTCAATTATAGGTCTGAGTTTTGCATCAGAATATACACAGGTATTTCTTCCTCTGTTTTTTTTTGAAATTTGAGAGGTTACAGGTTTGGGGGTTTTTTGTTTGGTTCATTGAGGCTTTTGGGTTTTGTTTATTGTTTTTGTTGTTGCTGGTTGGTTGGTTGGTGTGGGTTTTTTAAAATTTTGGGCACCTAATATTTAAGGAATATGTATACAAATCCACACGAGAGAACTCTAAAGATATCTCAGTTTAAAAGGCATGTTTTTTCTCTTTTTCATACAATCAGCATTCTTTTTTGAAGTCTTGCCTCTCCTGCTCAATGTCACATTCTCCACTACAATTTGCTGTTCAGCTGTGCGGACTTTCGACACCGGTGTGTAGTAAGCACTAAGAATTTCCTGAGTCAGGTTTATTCATCATTACCTGTACAAAGCAGAAGAGGGGGAGAGACAGTGTGAAACAGAGACACACACAGACACAAGGGAAGCTAGGGTTACAAAACAATCTAGAAACCACAACTCAGTAAGCAATAACACAAGAATACACGAAGTCTGTCACCAAGGAGGTGACCATGACCAAAGCTGCCTTAAAGCGCTACACACAAATATTGAAAACTGTGTCATCTTGGATTAGTGAATTTAAGATAACTGCACCTCAAGTGGCCTGCTTCAGTTAGAACAATCCTCTTAGGAAAGAGGAACAGAGATTTTCTCCCAACATTTCTTATTTGAAGAGTATAAGACTTTTGAGACAGAAGCTCATGAAGATCATTCTGTCACTTGTCCTCTATTCACCCCTATTAGCATAGGACTTTTTAATTCAAGTGTCTGAAATGTATAGAATTACTTTTTCTTATCGTTTTTGGATCCTACCACAGATTTGTGAAATAGAGAATTAGAACTGAATCTAATAAAAATAGCCACTTGTTAATCAGCATTTTGCCAGATGAAAGTCAGCTCTTTTTAATAGGATTCACTCAGACAACAGCTTATAATTTATATGCCAACATTTCAGCAAATTTTCATTTAAGTCTCTTAGTACTAGTTTTAAACTATCCTTAAAGCAGAGTAGCAAGCAAAAGAAAATGGTGACACTATAGTAACCATTTTCTTATTATTTTACATTGCCAGTCTTTTGGACACTTGAAAAATGGACTACTGCAGTGCATCTTTCTGAATCTGCCACTAAATCAAGAAATTGTGCCTGAAAAATATTTTTCAGACATTTCTCTGTCACAGTTGTGTCTAACACAGCATGAAAACAACATGGAAACAATTGTTCTTACCTAGCAGTTCTAGATCAGTAGAAAAAAAAAATTGGGAAAACGTAATTTGGATTAGAATTTAAAAAAAACAATCATGTTTTTCTAACTAGCTTTAAGACACCTCCCAAGCATTCACATTAAAAAAGTCATAAAAAGCTGTACCCCTACTTGACCTTGCACTACCAATGCAACACACTTGTAAAAGAATTTAAAAGATGCAGAAAGTACTTATTGGTTAACATGCATTAGAATATTTTTTTGAAAATTGAAATGCATTAAATAGTGATCATTGCATATACTTCTAAAACCAATATATGATGCTTCTGATTACTAGAAAACTAATTAAAATCTTAGATTTCTTCTTTTTCTCCTCTCCAGTGAAGACTTTCACCATTAGAAATCTAAAAATACATAACTGCAGTTAAATTCCTGACATGAGAGAAATGAAAAAAACCCCAAAACCATTCCATTGCTGATGGTGGTCTGTGTGGTTTTTCCTAAGCATGACTCTGAAAGATGGAGCAACATACATCTGCCTTGTAGCCTCTGCTAAGCTGGGCAGGGCTCCAGGGCACAATGAATTATTTTCATGTATTACTGAGACACCAAATGAGATGGATGGTTCATACACATCAAGTTCTTCTGAAAAAAGCTAATTATAGGATAAAGAGCTCCATGAAATTTTCAGAAAAGGAGTGATGGTGCAACCTATTAAAAGTAACATTATAGAAAGCATAATACTGTTTTAGCTAAAAGTTCATTAATTCTTAAGATAAAATTGGTTTTGATTCTGCAAGTTGTGTGCTGGATTTCCTTTCCCCATCTGTGAAACTGTTTTACAGAAATTAAATAATTATATTGTACCTTTTGTAGGCCAATTATTGTTACAGTTGACTGCACGTGCAAATTCTGTTAAATCAGAGTAGTCAGCAAAGTTTGCCACATTTTGTTGCAGGAATAAAAATAACCTTTGTGGAAAACTTTAATTAATTTAGTCAATCAATATACCAAAGCAAAGACATTTTCTGAAGTCTGTGATACTATGATCTGTTAAAAGCATATTAGAACCTATATTATGTATGACCAAGGAAGAACATAAGACCAGCCATAATTGCCAGGATACATTGAGATTACCTTCTTGGTAGGCTCCGTCTGCCATTACCAGATGAAGTATTTTGGCATACAGGTGTTTGTGCTCATTTCCAAGAACAGTCTGAACTACAGTTGAACAAACATCAATATTTTCATCTTCATCTTCAAGTATAGCCTAGTGGAAAGAACAAACCATGTTGCCAAAATGAAAATGGGTATAAAATTAAGTAGTTCAAATCTATTAAATGCAATTCATGGTTAAACCAGAAGATTTTCTCTTTAATCCACTGGTCAGGCATTTTCTCTGATAAGAGTTTAGTATGCCAAAACAGATTAAAAGACTATAGAAAAAACCTTTTACTCTAGTTACACAAAGTAATTAGTTAACTGGCACAGCAAACACTGCTAGGTGCTTGTTTCTTCAAATATTTCCACTTGAGCTTATTCCACAAACCTTTATTTTCTCATAAACTTCAATTAATTTATCAAAGCCTATTTCCTGCTCCAGGTTATATCTCAACTCTTCTAAATGGCTGAAGATACTATCACATTCTTCACATTCGCTGGCAATCTCTCCATCACTATTATCTAGAAAGAAAGAAAACAACAGTAAAACCTCCTCAGTTCTACATTCTTCATGTTGCTTCTAAATCACTAAGACAAATATCCTTTAAAAGCAACCAAACAGGCAAGCTCAGGAGCACTGGATAATGTTGGCAGATGTTCTGACAAAGTGCAAGAAAATAGAAATAGTCTTTTTCTTGAAAAAAGATCCTGAATCCCAAATGGGAAGCATCCAGCTATCCCCATGAAATCCCCACTCTGACAATTAGCCATAGGGATATTCAGCCTGAAGGAAAACATGGTATGGTCTTAAAGCAGAATTTTAGTTAACAAAGTAGGTCAAGTTCCATACCACCACTCTATAAATTTCTGAGATGAAACTCATGAAGGGTTGGTGGCTGTCCCACACAAGGGAAAGGAGTTCCTTAATGAAGCAGCTGTCTTCTAGCAAAAAATGAGGACATGTATGTTACCCATCCATTGCTTTCTGCCCTGAGATGCATCTTGTTCCATGGAGCAAGTCTAAAAATCCCAATACTAATTTAGCTACAGAGTTCCTTGCTCTTTTATAAGTGCATCTCCTTTGTGTAGCAAATTAAGTAGGCCAAGTGGTGCAATAACATACAGGAGAGAAATCAAGATAATTTTGCTTATAGGCTTCAGAAACCTTGAAAATAGGTTTGTAATGGTAAAACGAGATAAATCTAACAAAAAGAATGTTTTAAAAAATACAAAACAGAATTCTTATGTAAAATTCCATTGTAAAATGCAGGAAAAAATACTTTCTTAAATAAGCATTCAAATTTGGAGAGAACTTGTCTCCCATGGAAAAACTTCATACATTTCAGAGTGTATACCAAACCTTTAAATACTATTACCTGGTGGATCACAGACTTCATGAGATAGTACTAGAACTCTACTACTTGCAATTCTTATATATGACTAGTCTAAGGTATAGTCCTGGCAAAATCACATCCTTCATTCAAGTATCAACAGTCAAATCAATAAGAAAGTATCAATAAAATAAAAAGTTGTATGGGTTAAAAACCCATTAGGTTATATCTAATCCTCTATTTAGCATCTAGATCTTGGGCAGATTTTGTCTCAAGTTCTATCTGTTACCCTTTTGAAGGCTGCCCTGCCTTCCTCCCTGCCCCAACAATGAAACTTGAAATTCTTATGGAATATCTAGAAGGTAGGACACTTGTATTAAACTCCAGCACTTACAACAACAGCAGAATTACATACACAGGTAGTGTTGCATGTTATCAGTGTATAACATCAGCATGCCACAAAATTAAAGACATTAACAAAGTTTATTTTACCTTAAAATAATTATTGGAATGTATTATTAGATGTTCAATTTGTTGAAAATTTTCTTCAATAAAAAGTACACAAAAGCTTTGTTTTAGATGAATTACTGATTTTCTGCATCTTTTCATAACTATATTTCTAGCTGCACTTCATTTTCCAGCAAGAGTAAAATACTTCCATTTCCACAAGAATTTAAAATACAGAAATGAGACTCCAGGAAGTTGTGCATAGCTAATGCAAAATGCTAAAAGCGGTAATTAATTTATCTGTCTCACTTCTAGTCTGACTGCATTAATACCTAATTTTGGCTAAGGACGAGGTGAACAATTTCATGTTCCTTCTGATTGCCTGTTAAATTACTTAACTGTAATTTAAGCTGAATCCCAGATACTCCAGTCATGTCAATTGCTATTTCTTTTTCACACTAACAGCCATGAATTATTCAAGACATACAGTGCATTCTGTCTTTGATCTTCCTTGAAGCCAAGTTTTAGACAATTTAGAGAAAAAGGCCCTTACCATCACTACCCCACAAACAGCAAAGTTTTAATTTGCAACATGGAATGTCGCTTAGATGTTGACCTTAACATTCAGAAAGTCTGAATACAATCTGTTTTATTTAAACTTGTGCATAAAAATTATCAATTAGAGCTTTACTTTGTTATAAACTAAATCATTATTAACATGAATAACATTATTAACATGAATAACTAACTTATAAAACAGGTATAACAGAAATTATACCTGACTGCCATTCTTCATTAAGAGCACTTTCACTGCTGGGGTTATTTTCATCTCCTTCATCCAGCTCAGTACCATTTGTTATGCATTCCATGGCATTAGCCTTTAAAGTAGACTCCTCTTCTTCACTCAGTTCCTCACCAGGCTGCTCCCTAAGCAACTGTTCCATTGAATCCCGGAGTTCCTGCAAATCTGTGTCCGTCTCTCCAAACATACTAAAGGAATGTGATATAAAGTTTATATAATTAATACTTTGCAAGACAAACACTGTAGAAAGAGCTCATTTCTTTTGTTAGCAGCAAATTGAAAAGCCAGTCTAGCTGGAGGGAAAAAAAAAAAAGAGGCACACTCCACCCTCCTCCCTCAGCTATTTGTGACCTCAGTCCAATATGACTACAGCACTGACACCTTTGTATCATGCAAAACACAGGGAATAAACAGATATCCCACAGTCTCATAAAAAGATAGTAAGCCCTCAATTCAACTTTATTAGTAAGGTAATTTCAAAATCCTTGTATTTGTGCACTATTATAGAACCCTGGCAAATATAACATTTTCAATTCAGATAAAAATATGTCTGGAGCAAAATATAGATCTAGATCTAAGCAGACTAGATACACCAGACTATCAAAGCTGCGGGGAATAGTCAATTCCAGGGTCAGATTTTGAGGGACTTGAAGAACATTCTAATTAAACAGTGGAGGAGATAAATGAGCAAGATTCCCAGAACATAGAAAGAAAGGAAATATTCAAGAAATTTTTAGTTCTAGAAGAGCAATAGCAATCAACTTTGAGTTGCTTGAGTAAAATGCAAGTTGCAGACACCAGACAGACCTTGGATAGATTTTGGGAAGGAAATTCAGATAGCTATTGTATGCAGTGTACCCCATTAGCTTCTCAATTCTCTGGAACAAGACTTAAAGTAAATGATGATCCAATACAAAATATTTAAAATCTGGGTAAAAACTCCATGCTGGTATAGTGTGTATAACAGTTAGTGTCTAACCAAAAACATTATTGAACTAAGATTCCTGTTAAAACACTTGATAAACTTGATACACTCACATGTCCTCAGAGTCAGAGGGTCCTTCTTTGGCTTGCTCATCTTCTGTATCATCTGTTTCAAGATTATGTTGATGCTGCACATCTGCTACACTGGGAACATCAACTAAAGTTCTGTATAGTTTGTAAAGATCTGGGAGTGAACATGTTCTCAACATCTACAAAAGCAATAGAAAGCTTGGTTGGTAACAATATTAAAGACAGCTTGAGTTTACAAAATACTTTAAAATGAGATTTCACTGTTCTTCAGGCTTCCTGCTTTACAGCCAGAAGCTGTGCTAGTAGATTGGATCCAACAGGAGAAAAATCGCTTGGTTGGCAGAAATGACAAGATATCTTTGCTGCCCTGTTCAGTGATTGTTTATGATGGCAAAGTAGTGATTGTTCTAAAAGACTACACAAAAGGAAGAAAGCAGATGGGCAAGTTAGTAATGTCTTCATGAACTCCCTCAGTAATGTCTCAGAAAAAGAGTGGAATTCCTTCACAAACACCTGGAACATAGAATGTTGAATGGTGAAACCAGAGACTTTCACTGCTGCATGAGGCTTGCTGATATCATGAGCACAGTGCAGTTGAACTACAGGGCAGACATGGCTTGACAAATACAAATACCTGCTTGAAGAGTTGTGCCATCTTTCTGGCCTCATTCAACTTCAATAAGAAAGTAAGAATAATACTATAGAACAAAAAAGTATTTCTTTTTTTGTTATTTAAACTTGCCTTTGGGTCGTTTGCATCAAAAAGTCCTGTAGAAAGTCCAATCAACAATGAATTTTTGCCTTTATTTCTTGCTGGTGATATGGAACGTGAACGAGGTACAAAAGACTCTTCCTGTGAAGACTGAGCTGACAGAACTGGTGAGGCTGTTGGTACAGCTGTGGGCTGTATTACCCTCTGGAATAAGGGTTCAGCTTGCTGAGAGTCACTGGAACAAGTTTCTGATGTGGTAAAAGAAAGTCTGTTACAAATCCAACCAGATTAAAAGCCCAAGATACTTAAGGAAAAGGTAACAGCTGTGAATTTACCTAATTTCTCTTATACAATTAAAGAGAAAAGTAGATAGCACTTTAAAAGTATTAAAATATTTTTGATAATTTTATTAAGTGCAATTACAATGTGAATTTTCACATTTTAACTTTTGGAGAATATACAACCCTCAGCTATAGCCTGCTCTGTTCTCAGGCCTTCTGTTTTCTCATTATTCAGTCCATGTCTGATACTGTGTCATCCATTTTCAACCATTGCTTATCACCTTATACTAGATCTCTTTGAAGCTATCTCAATATAATTTGCCCAAACGGGGGGAAAAGCCTATCTAGTTTGCTTAAGCCACCCTTAACTAGATGCAAGAGTATCACCAATGATACTTTACAGCACTGACAATGTTTTTTCTGAAGTTACCTCCCAGACCTCCAAGAACAAGCAACTCTTCTATGCAATAAAGATAAAATATTGTCATCAGCAGCCACTTAAAACATTGAGCTGCAGCTCAGTATTCATTTGAAATGTGTATAAACAAAGCAACACTTCTATTAAGTAAATAATCAGATCTCATAACATCCTAAATAGTCATGTGAAAAAGCTGTAACATTCAGAAAGTTGACGTTCATCAGTATGGGCCACTGTCCTGTCGACCTATACACAGTGTAGCTTTTCTTGTAACATGGTTTCCTCCAAAGTGACAAACATAATACCCACAATTTGTCTTCCTAATCCAAAAGAAATTTCTTTTTTAGAAGTAAGAACTGAAGAAGCAAATAAAAACTTGCTCATTTGGGGTTAATGAAGCGAGGAGGGGTGACTCAAGCACCCCACACTGCCAAGCCATGGAACATGAGATTGGCACTGACCTGCTGGAGCTTCCTTCTGTGGTTGCACCTCGTTGAGTGCTTCTTTCTCTGAAGCTGCCCCACTCATTCTGTCATGTTGTGCCCTATTATAACACATCACATCATGGGGAAATGCCATGTAAAAAATGGTCATTAATCTATTGAAGTAATCAAGTGCAGTAAAACCAACACAGCAGCAAGCAATGAAGCTTTAGCTAAGTGTAATTTTAACTAACATGTCCAAATAAAACTCAGTTAAGGCTCCGTTGTTTGAACTGGAGAGAGAGGTCAGAAGAGAGTACTTACACATCTTCTTTCTCTTTTACCCACACTTCATTAACAGTGCTAGGGAACTCCTTATTCTCCTTACTCTGGTGCATTTTATCTTCCATTTCTTCCAGCACCTCTGCTTCCAAATCATCAGGCTCTAAAATTAATAGTCATTTACCTCATTAAAAATTAATTCCAATCAAGCAAAAAGATGGGGAAGTATACATTTTAAGATTACACTTAAATCCTTCATCTTAAATAATTTTGCAGAAACAGCAGAAGTTTTGTAATCCCAGAGCTAAAAGTTTTGGTTTTTTTCTGATACCAGAAGTGTGTCTTAAAGCTCCAATGAACCATGTCTTCTAAAAACCTCAGCAACATACCCCTAGAGATCAAAAGGATGCTGATATCATAGCAGAAAAGATTCCAGCACAATTGATGGGGAAAAATAAACCAAAACCCCATCAAATTAACAACAAAAAGTTTGAAGCACTTTGGAATTCTACTTGTTCTCTGAAGTTTTCTATAAGCACACAAAAATGTTTCAGGAAATCTAGTAAATACATTACTGAATCAGATTACAACACAGGCATAGAGAGCACCTGGTCCTACCTAAAATGTGTTGATAAAAAACCTGCACATTAATTACGGGAAGATATAAAAGTATACAAGGTTGTTACTTCATTTATTGCATTCAATAAACAGATTTTAAGTAGAATTACTGATGAAATGAGCTACCATCCAGCACAATAGCGTTGCTCTGCACCAGGGTGGGTCCAGTTCTTCGAGATTCTTCTGGTACAGTTATGACAGACTTTGTAACACCAACTGGTACTGCAGACTGAGTTCCAACAGGAGAAAAAGCCTTCTCTTCCTTCTCCTCTGATAAAGACTGATGATCTCCTTCAAGAAGTTCTGCAGTACCTAACAGAAAATGATTCTATTATGTAAACACTGATTTATGTTTTACTATATTTGGATAATAAACTGCAATGTGGCTAATATGGTAGGTTGGGGATTTTTGTTTCTTTAAAGGAAAACAGAAGAAAAAATTTGCATGCTTTTAGTACAACTATATAAAGAAAAAAGCTAGAAATATTAAAATCCTAATTTCTTATGCTACGTTATCATTAGTACAAGATTATATTGGGAATAAATGTAAGTCCTTTTGCCCTTACAAAGGACTAAGGGCAGGAGTGGACCGGGCAGAAAAAAATAAAATAAAATCAACTGATATGTAAGTCACATGCTGCCAACAAAGTTACAGGAAGCATCTAATGAAATATTCAGATGATGACATCCTTTCAAAAACTAGGATTGTTTCTATTAAAAGGCAAAGTTTAAGACTTTTCAGCAAAATGAAGATCCTTTCCTTTCAGCACACCCTGGTTAATTTCTTACCACTCAAGTGAGTTTGAAATATTTTGGTGTCCTCCAGTATCAGCTTGTGCTTACATTCAGAACTGAGGCAACACCCAGAAGTAGAAAGCAAGAGAAAGTATAAGAATATGCTTCTATTACTTCAAAATCTTTCTCAGTAGATAAACTGTCACTACACTTGCAGTGCAGATAATTACCCACTGTGCTTACCATTTATCTCATCTTGTTCCTCAAGGATGTCAGTTTGCAGCTGCAGCTCTGCTTCTCCTAGGATCCTTAGAACTGAATCAGTTGGGCTTTTGCCCCAGACTTTCCTGTGAGGTTCACCAATATCTAACTTGATTACTTCTCCCAGAGTTTGACCTGTTGGGACACAAACACAAATAGAAAAACTTTCCTAAATTAGAAATTTTTATTCATTTTCTGTATAATAAATAATCAAACAAAAAACATCTACAAAACTTAAAACTAAAAAGGTGACAAAGCCAGAACTCATGTCACCTCACCCTAAATCAGACAGCGTACAGACTTTGCTTATCTAGAGTTTTTCTTCTGCCAATTCCAATCAATAACAGTTATTCAATATCAGTTGACATATGCAACTTAATAGCAGCAGCAGCAGCTCTTTTCAGAAATTCAGACACTCCAAAAGAAAGCAGTATGAGCAATGTTTCATTGGCACGGAATTGTCTTGAACTTTACTTGAAATGGTAAACAAGAAAGTTTCTTGTCTTGCTATCCTTTGACATTTATTTCTGTTCATTCTCCCTCCAAGGAAAACAGGATACAAAGCACCAAAGAAAACTAGAGTAAAAAGTTTCTTGATTCTAGCACTATAAAACTACTATGCAAAGATGCAAGTCTGTCACATTCTCAATGATTATTTCCTTCTAAAATGTGAAACAGACTTTTAGTAAGATATAGTGAAACCAGGAAAAAGAGGTTTCAACCAAAAAAACAGAGAAGGAAAGTGGAAAATCTGGAATAACAATCTCGATTTAAGAAAGGAAACCACTAAGAAAGGCTTAACATAAGTTACAGATCTAAATTGAGAAAAACCCTCAGTTGTTTCTTCACTACTGATAACACAATAACAGGATTTTCAAGTTAAATAAGAATCTTTCATATATTTTAAATACTTTTTTATTAGTTAAGTAACTGTTTGTTGTTGAAATTATGAAATTATTTATTGAATCTCCTGCAGGCTTTTAACTACTCAGCCTGTGCCTCATTCCTTATTTAAGGGAACACATAACCACCCACTTTTTAGAAGTGCATGACCTGTAACTGGTAACAAGATGATAATAATAAAGAGTAGTTGGTTTATAAAAACACACACTACACATGGCAAACTGATTTAGTAATACCATGGTGACAAAAAAACCCCAACAACTTACACTCTGCTCCAGAGAAAGAATCTTCCATTGAAAGCTGAGCTAGAGGAACGACCAACTCAGAGGCCCCAGATTCCCATTTTTTGCGATCTCCCAGAAGTGGCTGGTCACCTTGCTGCTCCTTACCATCTTCAGATCCAACCAATTCAGAGGTATTTTTACTCTCCTTTTTCCCTCTCTCATCTTCTTGAGCTTTAAGATTTTGATTTAATCTTCTCAGAATTTCTCTCTTGTTCTGAAAGGACCAACATATGTATTAAAATAGTGCCTTTCTTGAAAGCATACCTAAATGACGCTATATAATTTGACATACTTGTACTGCAAAATCTGGCTTTTTCAATTCCTCCTCAGACTCCTGGACAGCAGTTATTACATGTTCATCCTTTAAGTCCCCAAAGCATGAAATAGAAAGCAGAAGAACATGTCAGAAAAAAATTTTCTTGAGAATAGTAATAGACATAATAAAACCTTTCCAATGTCAACTGCAGGTAGACTGAAACAGAATGTTTGATTATTCTGTTTTATTCTATCCCAAAGACACAATTTCAAGGGCACCTTCCATCTTTGAACCAATCACTATCTAAAAGTGATGAGCAAGTGAATCACTCAATTTAAACAGACAAATGAGATTTTAGAGAATGAAACATGTAGAGATAAAGCCAGATACAACCTCTACAGCAAGATAACACTGAATTCCTTTGCTACAAATGAGTAATTCTACAAGAGAACCAAAAAAGTGGCAAGCACAGAGTCAAGGATAATTTATGAAGAAAAAACAGAAGGGAAAAGAGACAAATGTAGTGGTATGTAAATAAGCAAACTACATACTGAAGGCAAAATGTAGAATTTATAATCAAGCCTTTGTGTACAAGGCTTGTATTCTCCAACTCAAATTGCTCTAAGTGCTATTTTTTAGTCTCTTATTGTCCTCATTACTGTGAGACAAACTGTCCATGTGGAAAAAATATGCTTTATTAAAAAATACGATTTAGGTATTTGTCCAAAATATGATTTCCTTTTTCCAGCTACCAACTGACATCTTTCAGGGTATAACATTTTATATTTCACACACATTCTTTAGTGTAAGTTTCACTCTATTCCCACAGCTATAGCCCTCAGGGTTGAATACAGTATGAAGTACCACACTACACTGAAATTTACAAAGAGCTTAGGCAAATGTAAAAAAGCTAGCATTCAAATTAACATAGATTGTGTTAAAAATTTAAATTGTACACGGTTACACTCATGAGCTCAGGTTCACAATTGTAACATAAAGCAGTTGAGGTAAACATGTAAGTTTTTACAATATCAGGACCGAGAACATGCAGAATAGAAATTAGGATACTCTTTTAGACAACAATAAGAGACAGCACTAACAGATTCAAGAATCTTAGGCTTTGTCTTCTCTGTAATATTCAGCACTTTCAAGCTCACTGAAAACAATCAATCATTAATATAAAATAGTCCTATCATTCAAAATTTATCTGCTCACTTCCACCAAGTAACCAACTCATTAACTCCTCTCTTCAAGGGGCTGATGAAAATGCTGGAAGTTGATGTCTTGCTCAACTGAACAAAACTGCCCTGATCAAAATGGAAGTTGCCACCTAGGGCTCATCATAAGTTATTTTGCTCAGAACATGAATTTCAGTTTCAGCATACAGGTGTGTTTCAACAGCTTTCAAGCTTTGGTTTCTTTTTATATTTTTTTAAAATTTCTTTTCCCTAATTAGAAGCAACAAACATCCTTAACAATTTTTTTCTAGCTAACCTATACATTTTCTCTAAACATTCTCGTTCCAGTCACTACTTATTGCCTTTCCATTCATTTTACCCTGTTTGCAAAAGTACCTACCACACCCACTTCCTTCAAAGCAGAAGTCATGGAGATGACAGGTACACCAGGCTTCACTGGAAGTTGTGGCTTAGGAAGAGCTGCTCCAGACTCTTGTAGTCCATTCATAGGACTATGTTCTGTAGCTTCCATATGAAAAGGCACATTAGGATTCTTTACCCCTTTTGCAATCAGCTGTATAGATGCAATTAAAAAAAGTTAAATCAAAAATATACTTCAGGACTTTACACATTAAACACAGTATTATCAATTAGGCTCATGTAATCCTTACAAAAGGACAATAATGCCACACATTCATACAAAGGACAACTGCCCACTGCATGCCAGTTTGTCAGCTTCACATCCTGCTTTTTCTACTCACAATATTACTAGTTGGACTTGTTCCATAGCACACACAAGTAAAAGAAAATAAAATAAGTTTTGGTCATTAACAGACAATTAATAAAATAATTGGGGTGATCCTAATGATTCTTAGGTAGGATGTTCAGAAGTCTCCCTGCAAGCATACTTAAGATTAGGCTTCTAATTAGGGAATTCTGACTGACACGGGATTCTCTCCCCAATTTCAGAACTACTTGTCTTGAAAAATCACAGTATAGGATTTTATTTATACAAAGATATGGCCCTACATACTGTGACTGCATATAACAGATTTATTTTCTTACATGTTCTTCCCAGGCTCTTTTCTCTCTTTCATATGCTTCCTTTCTCTTTCGCTCCAACTGCTCCTTCAGAACTGCTGCACGAGCATTTGCTTGAGCCTACAGTAAACAAGCAAAAAAAGATCAACTTGAAATCATCAGCAGCCTATTTCATGGAACATTTTAAGAAGGAATATTCTTGGATTACTCATCTCCTTTTCTCTCACTACTGTATAGACTATGAAAGGAGGACTCCACTGACAAAATCACCACACATGTAGAATAACTGATGATCTATGTTGAAATAATGGCAACTCCTCAAAATTTAATTGCAGTTCTTGATTTGCATGGTTCTATTTTTAATATACATAGTAATCTTAAACAGACTAATGTAAAATTAGAAACTCTACTTAAAATTATCTTTGAAGACAAATGCATTAATCAAAAAATATTAAATATTATGTTTAAATTTTACCAACTTACTCATAAACAAAAAGCTTCACTTGCTGTTTCACCTCAAGTTTTCAGGTTAGGCATAGAGTTAGCTTATTTTTACACTGTACTTTGCAGATGGTGGAGGGAACTTCATGGAATAGATAAGAGCAATAGTTGCTATCTATAGTATTGTGAACTAGTTATTGATTTTAAATCACCACAATTCTAATTAAACACTGTATTTCTATGAAATGTGTTTGTTTTAAATGTAATTCATCACAGGGTTATATAACTCACATTCCAATCCACACATAATCCATGTCAGCCCATTTAAGGATCCTTTATTCTTTAACTAAAAGAAAGGTGTTGTCTAAGGTATATCTCCCTTACCCCTTCAGTCTCAAAATGCTGTTTTAGTTATACCAAATTGCCATTAGGACTACAGCTACCCTAGAGAGAATTCTCAAAGACTGGGATACAGAAGATCCTTGACTAGCAAGGATGTCTGTGTGTTTTAAAATTACCAAGATAAAGCAGCTGAACACAGTTATTTGCTCTATACAGTCAAACTCACCCCATTCCCCTTGTAGTGGACACATGAACAAACTATTGATAGCAAGATGAAATATAAGAAAATTCATGAGATATTAAACATATTTGACAACAGTAACTTCCATCTCCTCCCACTCCATGCTTACCTTCTGTGTTTCTATCTTCTTGCGCTTCAGTTCTGCTTCCTCACTAGAGTCCTGTCCATCAGAACTGGCAGCTTCACTCTGCAAAGTGAAAGTCTTCATGGAATTATCATCAGTGCATGTATTTAAACACTGAGTGATATGAGTGCCTACTCAGAATATTTTAACCGACTATATGACTAACATGGGTCAGTTTCACTAACTCCTTGCTTAAATGCAATGTTTACTTCAACAGAGCTTCGTCTCTGAGATCAGTGGGGGTTTTATTTGTTTGGTTTTTCAGGGAGGATTGGTTTTAAAAGATGTGAAGCTTTAATAAGTCAGGAAAAAAGGAATGTGCCTCTTGTTGCAAGGAAAGTAGCCTACAATGCTGGGCTCTCACCTGCCACCCCTCATCACTGCTCCATGTTCTGCAGGTGAGGATACAAGAAAGGTTTGATGCTCTAGAATTCCAGGGTTTTTTCACAATATATACTGTCTAAAATACATGTCTATATAAAACTGCCTAAAACAAAAGTCTTCACCAAGGGGTAAAAGAACACACCCCACACTCAACTTCCATAAGTATTGAGTATTATTTTTAAACCAACCTTATCTCCACGAAGTTTTGCTCTAATCTGCTGACGTTCATTAAAGTTTTGTAGCCGGATCTGTCTCAGTCTTGCCAAATATTCCTACACAAAGAAATGAAACAAGTTTCAGCTCTATGGAAACTCTCTCCAGTAAGGTTAACTTAAAACATATCAGATACCACAAAGAAATAAAATGAGTGAACCACCCCCCAACATTATTGTTATCACTCCACCAGCATATACTAATCTCCAGAAAAATTCTCATGTAATTAAAATGTATGTTTATCAGTATTAATTATAACCACATTTTACATTACTGAAAGCTAGGAAAGGTTGCATTTATCTCAACAGGATTAGGACATAGCTATACTTATGTGTATCAAATTCAAGAGCCACTCTGAGAAAGACTGATGTAAGCAACTACTATTTTGATTATTTTAAAAACAAATACAATTAAACGCACCCAAACTTTAGCACATTAACAGTAAATTATTTCCTAAAAATTAAAAAAGTCCTTTAATTTTGTTACACAGATGGAACCATGCAGGGAAACTGGGCACAGTTAAGGTCAAAATAGTGCTATTTTTGTGATGAGCAAAGTGGCAAACATGCAGCAAGCATACCTCTTCCTCCTTGTTTCTGGATTTCCTTCCTCTTGCAGAAATGGACCTGCCTCCATAGGTATCTGCCAGGTTTTGCAGTGTACCCTGTTTGCCATTTAATGGTATCAAATTTAAGGTGGCTGGGGCAGTAAAATTATCTGCTTTATCCAATAATGGTTCACTTATAAGAAACCAAATCCATCAAAGATCTGCAGATGTTCTGAAGTTAACCAATAAACCTTTTTCACTTACATGAAACATATGACAGCAGTAACTAAAAATTCTGAGCAGCCAAAGAGAGAAATAAGAGCTCTAAGAATATAGTTGCTGTTTCCCTTCGATTCTGATTTTCTCATAGAAACTTTAGGTTAGAAAACCTAAATTGTGATGGGTATGAGTTTTCTACATCTGGGTTATATTAAAAATGGTAGCACAGGGTTGAGATTTCTGCCATTGCTGAGTTAAAAAGTGGAATCTTTTTACGTTCTTAGATTAAGCTTTTTTAACAATAATGAGTCAAAAATCTAAAAAAGCACTAAAATATACTCATTACACCTAACAAGCTGTGCTAAATGTCTAATACACAGGCAGTATGCAGACTTGGTTCATGTGATGTACTCTGTGACTTGTGACCAAAAGGATTTCAACCTTTAAGAAAGTTCTGTATAGAACAGTAGACTTCATGTTTTCTGCTTGGATGACAATCAATAATGCTTTAATTATTTCACTAATGACATACCACATTTTTTTTTCTGAATAGGTTAAAAATTCCTTGATTTGTTAGTGCAACATACAATAAAGACAGCAAGCACACAAACATATGATTGACCTTCTGCCCCATAAAATGCCTGGGGCTTTGGCCTTCTCAAGCTTGCGTGTAGAGAACCATCAGTAAGTAAATATTCCAGTGAGGTTATTGACTGAATCCAAATATTCTGATTAAATAATCTCTCAGATTGAGAAAAATTAATAGCTCAAGGAAATAGCACACCACTGCACTTCAGTGGTTTAGCAATCAGGGGATCAGAGAACAAATTAAGGAATTTTGAGGAAGAGCAGTTTCTATACATTCATAAGGGCCCCATGAATGCTGGTTTCAGCTTGAGCATTAAGCCATAGAAAATGTAAAATAATATTTTCCATATTCATCTTTTCAGAAAATATTTGGTTTTATTTTTAACTTTTTAATACATGTTCCTGAGCTTTACAAAACCTTACTGGCACTATTGAAGGAATTTCCCTGTTCTTGGTTCTAACATTGAAGTTATTTTAGGTATTTCCATCACTGATGGTGATTTATATCACTGCACTTAAGAAAGAAACTGGAAGCAAGATTTTTGAGAACTGATTTTCTTTGTAGATTGTTTATTTTACTCATCTGCTACATTAAATTTTCAAAGACCAGGACTCATTTTTGCAATGCCACACAGCTACAGTGAAGTAGCAAATTAGGTCAGCAGCTGTCTTAAAAAACAGATGTCTGTAAGTACCATCAACTCAACTACTGAGTCAAATTTAGACTGTCAGTTGAAAATTAAAATTGACAGCAATTATATTTTATAGAAGCTGGGTAAATTAGTGCCAGTCATCAGACAAAAGGCTGACTATTAGTTGATGATTTCTCCTTTCAGATCAACATTGTCCAAACAACAGTCCCATCCCCATATGAGAACAACTGCCAGCTAGTCAAATTAATTTCCTGCACAAATAGAAGGAAGCTGTTGGTAACTTCCACTTTCAATGACAAATCCAGAAATGGACTTGGTACTCTGGCTTCAAGTTATAAGTCTTAAACATCTGGAAGTTACTTTAATTGTTCCATAACCTCCCTGTTTTATTATGGGAACCATCTAAGATTAAAACGTTTAGGCTCATTGAACACATTAGAGAAAACTGAAAAACATTAACATGAATAGTTGGGTATCTTAAATTAACTGATCTCATAAATTCATATCAATGCCAACAAAATCAAGAACAAAATGGAAGCAGTACTGGTACTGCTAACAACTTTCCAAGAGAGAATGGTATTAACAACAACCTGCCCAAGAAGAGGTAGTGACAAGAATTGCTCTTTTTTTTTTTTCAAAATTATTTACTGGTCTTGAATGTTTTAGAAAAACAGAACCATAGTTTTAGAGAGGAAGACTAATTTTACAACATAAATACTAATCTAAGGATACTTTGCCATGAAAGCAGTGAATCAAAGCACCAAAAATTGCTCACTGTAAGTGAAATAATCCCTGACATTAGGACCTGGCTTTAAATCATCATCTGATTATCAGGTATAACTCAGGAGATGCTGCTATGAATCTGCTGTTGGTCTCATCTCACTGCTACTCCCGCACAGTCAGTTCAATTTCAGCAGCTGACAAAGATATTGTCACTGAATTGCATATGAATAGTGTAGAGAAGCACCCAAGAAGTAAAACCCTCCTTGTTATCAAAACACATAGTCATTTCCAATATATGTTTTAAACAAACTTCCTAAAGGAATAGTGAATTTAGAACCATAAGCATAAACATTTTATGATACTATCTTCTACTTAATTTCTGAAGAGTAAAGGTTTTAGAAGATTCAGCATTGACAGATATGGATGAATTCATAATACCTTTTCACTAAGCAGAATGTGTTTCCCTAGCATGCACCACTATGTCTGATCATTAGCTGTATCAATTTAATCAAACTTCATTTTTGGTTCAAGCTACTGTATAACATGAAGTTTAATTTTAACCAAGACTCTAAAGCATAAGCAGAAAAAGAATGTAAAAGAATCTTCTAAAATTGACAATAGCAAGTTAGACACACGCAAACAAAGATAATTTGTTAATAAGCTTGAAGTAATGAGAAATGTACTACATGATTATGTTATGTTTTATCAAAATTAGCAAGAAAATGCAGAAAACTTATCTCCAATTCTCTGTGGTTTTTTCAACACTTAAGGAAAACATTTAGTCAGCATTTCACTTATGATGCTACTTCAAAGACTCACAAAGCATGCTGAAACAGTAATACACACTGGAAGACCAGATTTCATACCATGTGTCCCTGAGCTCGAGCTTTGTTTTCCATGGCTTCTCTCTTTCGTTGCCAGAATTCTTCAACTTGCTTTGCTCTATCTGCAGCTATCCATCCTTTTTGCCTGAGTAATTTCAACACAGCAAGATGAAAGTCTCTGAAATGACACTGTAAACACACCACCCCCACTGTCCTCCCCCCCGCACTTATTCTAACTAGAACACGCAGGGGAAAAAAGTAACTTTATATGAGTAAGACATCTTCAAAAAATGCCTTTCATCAGTCAAAATACAAGTCACACTTGCACAAAATGGAGGAAAATAGGCTTACTAAAAGTAAGAAGAACTACTAAAAAAATAAATCCAAACCACTGTATTGTTGTCCTTCCAGATCCTTGTCATTGAAAGAAAAATGAATGTCAAAACACAGTCTTGGTATGATTGTTTCTGGAAGTGTCTCAGCTTGTTTCATTACTGTTCTGATTTGTGAAAAAGAAGATTCCTTCAAGATTTCCCTTTAGAGATGAGCAAGAACTCATCACACGAGCCAATCAGTAAGGTCAATACTGTGACAGCCTTTCAAGACTGTCCTATATTTGCAGTAAGAGTTTCTGCCACTTAGGGAATTACTACAGTGCTCAGTGTTCTTGCAATTCCTTTTAGAGAATCTTGGGGGACATTTTCTGTTTGTTTTCGAAGGGTCCATGAAGGAATTTTCCTACCCTAGAATTAGCTGTAACAAGATTATTGTTTTTTGACAAGTTTCACCCCTGTCAGGGACCTGCTTGGCAAGACAAGAAGGCTACATTTAGTTTACCATAACTGAGCATCCTGCAACTGTCTGAGTACATTTATAACATCACAGAGAAATCAGATTCTGACAAATTCCTTAGAAGTAGACCCAGAGAAGGTAAGTACTAAAACAAAACTAAAACACTGAGAAATGGTTTAAGATATTCTACAACTGGTAGAATGATGAGGCCTTTCCAAGGTTCCCTGAGCCTTCTTTGACTGAGGACAATTGGGGGTTTGGCAACAGTCAGGAAGAGACTGGAATATGCTGACAGCAATACCCATTAGACTGAGGCACTTAAAGAAAGAATCCTTTTGCAATACAGGAAGCTCTAGTAATTCATAAATAATTATCACACAAATTAAAATACTCTCATTTTATTATTTTGACCCTTCACCCCTCAATCAAAAAGGAAATGAATTTTTTTCCAGATGCTACAATTCGTTATAAGGAAGGCAGAGATAAAACCACTTTCACACAATAAAACAAACACTGCTCTAAAAAGGCACGACAATCCACACAGGTGTTACTGGTAAAGAAACAAACACTCGTCAATCCTTGTGTACACATACTTGATTCACCAAAAGATTTTTACTCTATGTTTTAACTACATATGAACTCAATTGGTGGATATGAAATCTGAGCAAAGCCCTGTCATGCAGCTGAAGTCTGTCACACATCATGAACCTTACAGTGTTGGAGGAGAGGTCTTTCCAAAAACACCCAAGACTGTCCTATTTGTCTCAAACCAAATTCACAGGAACGTCTTATCTCAAAATTTTATAAAAATGGTTTTTCTTACTCCAAAGATGAGCAACTAATTTTCCTAAAACATTTCAACTAGATTTCTTCTGGGCTTCACTTCTACCTGAGACAATTTTTCAAGACTGTTGACACTGAATATATTTAGCTTTACAAAAGTGGTAGTACAATGAAAGACTTCAACTTGAAGATTTCTCAGCTTCTTCAATATGTGCCCTAAAATGACTATCTTTAACAAAGTTCTTGTTATTTAAATTCTTTCTTTGAGCAGAACATCATGATCACTTGCCTTCAGCAGGAAGAATAAGTCCAGGATGGAAATACAGCTGGGCTGGCTATGATAATAAAATTGCTTCTCGGTAACATGAAAATTCTTAATGCATTTAAGATGCTAAGAAACAGCACCTCCATTTACAGCTAACAGTAATCCAGTCTATAAAGAGAAAAAAACCAAATCTCTACCTATTTTGAAACTTCTGAGACAGTGTTTTCATTGAGTGCTTCCAAATTCATGTATTTGAGAAATGCTGAATTGGTTTCTCTTCCCAGTCTGTGTTATTTATAATTTGCAGCACTCTGCTATAGTTTCTCTCCATTTTAAAGCATTTTAAATAGTTTATCCAGGTACAGACAAATATAATCTCATATTTTCAAATGTACGAGTCAAACTGCTTCCTAATCTAGGCAAGAGTTGTGCACTTTGTGCAAAGCACTGAGAATAAATAGAGGAGGAAATACATTTAACTACTGCAGGCAAAAGATGCCTTCCAGTACTAGGTTGTACCAGGTAGAATTTTAATTATCTCACAACAGTCCAACCTACTACAGGGAATATAAAATATACCTCAGACCTTTCAGAACTGTAATATCAATGTTAAGCACGATGTTATTGCTGCAAATTTTAAAATAGCAAAAAACCTATAATTGCAAATACATCTTATATTAGAACATAAAATTGAATTAATTTAATTTACAAGAATAAATGGTTTCTTTGGCCACTTCCTTTTTCTCACATTAGCTTCATTTATTTCTTCCTCCATGGAACACATGATTGGCTCTGCAGAAGTTTAAATAATAAAGGAGAAAATTCGTGCCTCTAGCAAAGTCAGTTAGTAATGTTCACAGTACTAAACTTCCAAGAAAATGGTATTTTCCCATTTCCTAGTCACAGCTGCAGAATTCCTTGGGCAATATTATGAGATCTAAAGGAGAGTAAATAATTTTTGAAGAAGCTATTTAAAAGAGTGAAAATATTAAAAAGAAAATCAGTACTTGCTTACAATCTTTTTATATATAAAAATACCCTATTTACAGTAATTAGACTCAGGTCTTCTAATTCACTATTTGAATACCAAATTAGAGGTTGTACACCATTACAACACCTGGCATTCAGATCTCAATGAAGAAAGCTCCTAGAAGTTTTCCACCAAGAATTCTGGGATCAATCTAGATGCTTTGCAATACTACAGACACTTAGGTGCAGAGAAGGCAGGAAGAATAAGATGATGGGAGAAAGAAGCATCTTGTCAGGTAACACAAAAAGTCAAACCATGAACAAAGCAAAGGAGGAGGCTTATGTTGTTATCTGCAACCACATGAAGCCACCAATTTTGTCTGAAATCTACTTTAGGTACAATTGCTTAGTAAACTACTTTTTCCGTTATTGGAAAAGCCAAGATCTGCATTGGCTCTAAAAGAATTGTGGTCTGTGAGGGTCTAACGCACAAACAGACAGCACAATACCAATGAATCGAAGTGATTCTGAGACATGCTCAACTACTAAATGAAACCAGACACAGAACAAGAATCTAACATGGAGGGACAGATTCACAGATTATCATAGTCCAACCTGTTTGCATTGGCTTGTTTAGACACCTCCTTCAATCTTTTCACTTTTTTCCTAACTGCACCAACATCGGGTAAATGGTGATGACCTGCAGGTCCCTTAGGAACTCCTGGACGTGTTCCAGGTGGAATTCCTCTGTAGATAAATATGCACAGTAACTTTCATTACTTTCATCTAAAGCAGACCACATGCAGCTTCTAATAGAAGGTAGCCATACCTTTCAACAACTCCTCGGTCTTGTAGTTTAGCTCTCAACTTGGCTTCCCTCTCTTCAGCTATTCGGAAGACATTTTCCCTTTGCTGTTGCATCTGGTCAAAAATAGCATGATAGTGTTCATAGCGTCCTCTGGAAGATACAGGAAAAGGACCAACACCACCTCCACCGACATAATATGGTGCCTGGAAACCAAAAGGGGTAGGGTGGAAATCACAAATACTGCTTTTAATAGGCTCTTCCAATTTCTACCGCTCCAGCAAAGTAATAATACTAACATAATCTGCAACAATTATAAATTGGTACTAGTTTTATCCCTGGCATGCTCCTATTTTAACAAATTACAAGATAGATAATTTTTTTTTTAATTATGAGTTCAGAATAAAACACCACTTTAGCTTCCTTTAAAAATAGTACAGTTATACATGAGTCATCTCTCACACAGTTTGGAAGTCACTGAAAATGACTGCATTGAACTGTAAACAGAGACAGATAATATTACATGGCCAAAATCAAAATTTTAGCAAAAAAAAGGGATACATTCCAACTGAAGTAGTAACAAGTGACTTATAACCAAACACACATTTTTTTTCATGAAGCTGGAAACAGTTGAGCAGTTTTAAGTTTGCTGAATGGTACTATGTGCAGATTTATCTGAGAATCCCCATTGCCACCCAGCCTATCACTTTATTTCCATCACTAGACTTGTGATGCTTCTCTACTAAAGCTCAGACCAGGAGAACATCTACCACAAGGCACTGCTCTGTGCAAATTATACCTGTCATTCTCAAAGCATTAGAATTCCTGCAGAAATTTCAAGTGAAAATAATGAAAAAAATAATGTTTCAAGCAGCTGTGTACAGTAATAGCCAAGGATGGATGCAGAAAATGTGAAACTGGCAAAACAAGGTTAAGGTTGTCAGCACATGCATAAAAATGTTTCCTTTATGCCTGGGGGAAGCAGTCAAATAGCCCATGGTAGTAAATCTATGGAATTTGTTTCACCAACAGTGTCAATCTACCTTCCAGAGTGGTCTGAAGTATTTAATATAAATTCAGAAGGTGAGTACAGATGTGACAGGTTTAAGACTGCCTGTTTAGAAGTTCTTGAAGACACTATATCTGACAATGGAATTTATCTCACATTCTGAGTTTCAGTTGTTCAGTACCATCAATGGCTCCCCATAATCCAGATAAGAGTACTAAATCAAGGATTTTCTAGGCATTCAAACAAATATGCAGGTAGACTGTTGGTCTGAATAAAAATAACTATACAAGACAATGATTTCTACAAATAGAGGGAAAAGTCTTTAGACACTATTCAAGGTTTCATGTATCATTATTAGAGTTCAGTTTCCAAAATATAAAGAAATTCTACATAATGATCATCATTCTCCAGGCAAATGATATGAAGCAGGTGCTCTTCAACAGTCTAGAGAAAAGTTACAGCACTTGCTAGAACCACAAACCCAAAGCCAAACACTTGCCACGTCTTTCTCTACTTTTCCTCAGATACAGGTGCCAGCAATCAGACCAAAAATAAAAGAGGGCAGAATCATGGAGTGCATGACTGTTGTGCCTTTGTAAGAGGCTGTATGGCTTGTGTTATTGGAAAGCTTGAACAATGCTATTCAACGGCACTGTCAGGGAGTTGCTGGATATAGTTCTTGCATGCTGGAGAAAGGAAAAAGACAATTAAGTCAAGAATATTATAATAGTATATGGAAACCTGAAATGATGACAAACTAGCAGCCTGCAGTATGATTTACACTCAACTATCCAATTTGAAGAAGACATCTCAATGATTTTTCCATCTCCCAAGATGTTTTACACCAGTGACACTTGGTGAAAACAAACACACTCACTGGCCTCAGTTTCCCTAGATAACTGAGAATACAGCTAACAAGCCATCTGGAGCTACAATAGAGCAGCTCATACATTCACAGTAAAACTGTGAGTTAATCAGAAACACCGTGTTCAGGAACACACGCAGCTCTCGTCCAAATGTGAGGACGCATGCATGCCATGTTATATGGGAGCTTGTACTGCTGCCTGCCAACTTGATCTTGAAGGAGAGGAGGACAACATAAGAAGCCAATTACATTTTTTCCTTTTATTTTTCCATTAAATCAGCACTTTGTAGTTTTTAAAGTCTGGTATGCTTAAGTTTGTGTTTATATTTAAGCTTTATTTATAATGATGTGTGGCACACATCCAAAGGTGATATCTATTTTGAAAGGAAATATTTAATAGGCAGCTACTGAAACCTGGTTGGTGTTTGTGTATTCCTCATTTTTGTACAGAGAATAGTAATAAAACCTCTATCCATTTTGACTTTATTGCTCAAAGCTTGCTTACAAAAACCCTACTGAAGATGTTTATGCCCAGTATTTTGACCACAACAAATGCCTGTGTTTCAATCCACTTTCTATTGTCAGACAGACTTACCATCATACTACTTAAATTCCTATACTGGCTGTCTGATACCCAGACCCTTATAATCAACTAAATTGATGACATTACTTTCCAGGACAGTTAGGTTTCCACAAAACTATGACATGCCCAAATAGGGAAAAGGAAACAGTCATGGGAATCAGAATAAATTATGTACAAAGTGAATGGCTAAACAGCACACTGCATTAAAAATAATTAGATTTACTCAGAAATTTTTACCCCCCTCCTGAACACCTTATTGATATATAGAAACACTTACGTTGCTAAATTAGAAGGGATGTTTAGAAACAAGTATTTAATACTAGGAAAGAGGTCCATTACTATAATATGAAAACCTGGGGAAAAAAAAATTTAGGAACAAACTTGAATGTGAAAGAAGCTGCTCATGCATACACTCAGCACAGGAAAAGTAGCAAAAGCAGGTGTAGAAATAAGAAAGTGGTGCATGAAAACCATTGCTAGCAGAAAGAGACAAGATTCAGAAATTTAGAAACATTAAAAATGAAAATTGCATGTAATCTCCAAAAGGCCAGGGAGGAGCTGTTACAGTCTATCTCAAATTATCCACAGATTTATAATGGACAGCTTCAAGAGTTGACCTCCAAGAGCAAATCTTTCTGAAAAGAGAAGACCATTTCACACAATCAAAGGTGGGGGGGAAGCACACTGCACCACATTTCTGCATCTGCTGCCAACCTTAACACCACTTCCACCTGAACCAAGCACATTCCTCCATCCTTGTTCCCTGGCTCTGTTTATTCGTTCCATCTGAAGGAGAAAACAATACAGGAAAACAAAATTCAAGGAACCACTAAGTAAAAATTGAGCTTCACTCTTAACACATTTTAAACATATTTTACCCTTTCTTTTTCCAATCTTCTCATTTCATCTGCCTTCGGTAAACTGATCTGCAATGTGTAAGGATAAACATGTTAAGGAACTGGGAAATGAAACTACTGCATGTTCTTACACACCACACCACAAGGTATTTAATGAAAATTTCTATGGGGGAATAAAGAAAAATCTGAAGACTCTTATCTACCTGCTCTCTCTGGCGCTTTTCTTTTTCAGGCAATTCTAACCTTTTCTTTTTTGAAGGTTCCTGAAAAATAAGCATATAATTTGGTATTTATTACTGAGCCATTACTCTGTCAAGTCTCTGTCAAGATGGGTTATTGATCCAATTGCTGTCCATGAAGATTAAAAAAAAAATCACTGCTATATACTGTTTGGCAAAAAAGATGAGGAGGAAAGGTTTGAAAGTTGTATTTTGTCATTCTTTCTGTGGACTTGGCTTTTGCTCAGTTTGAAAAGAGATGATTTCATGATATTCCAAACATTTTTGCTCCTTTTTTCTACTGGAATAATTTTCATCAATGGGGTTGGAAATGCCTGCATAAAAGGTGAAACTTCAAATTAGACAGCATGATGCCAGAATGAGAGAAAAATTCTATCAGAAAACATATTCTTAAGTCACGACTGAGTGTGCACTAAATGGGGTTTAAAATACTTGATATTCAGGAGGTTTGAAGTGAAAAGCACTGCTAGGATATAGGGGTACTTGTTCATCCTGTACTAAAAGTTCTTCAAAACCTGAAGGCAATGATTTTTAAATCTTCTTTGTCTTAATTTTTCTTCTATGGCAGTATCACTCTTCATTACAACACTTTCTTTATAGAAACTCTTTGAGGGGGCCTAGATATTAAGATTCTCTTTTTTAGATGGTTGTCCTGGGGGTCTTTTGCTTGATGCTTCACTTGATTCCAACTCTAACCAAGGTTCTTGTTACCTATGACAACACAGTCACCACTGAATACCTGTTAAAGAGGCAGCTATAGTTAACAAAAAGTGCTGTTTACTCTAATCTTCTCAAAAAAGCCGTCATTACTTTTAAAGCTTTTTTTTCTGACCATACTAGAACACACAGAGCTTCACAGCACTGTGAAGCTCTTTCTTTTGACAATATGCAATCCTTTCAAATGGTTAATTTAAAATCAAGTATTGCAGATGTTGGAAACCTTTAGAGACTTGTAACAATATAATGTTAATGTAGTATTACTAATTAAAGGAGACAATTGTTACACACTCCTCTGAGAAGCCAGCTAAGAGCTGCAAGCTTAGACTCAGAGAAGAAAATTTATATTGTAAGTTGTAGGCACTGTTTCTATCCTGCATCTTATGGGGGATCATCACTAGGTACAGCTCACAGAAAGACTGTCCTAAAATAGCATTACTGACTCCTTCCATGTGGGAAGAGGATATTTCCTCAGTCTCTCCCCTGCCACATTAAGTCTCAGGGTAAGTTGGGTAAGTGTTGGCTGGTGAAACCCATGACAAAGACCCATAGATGGTTTTGCAACCAAGCCTTAAAACACATAAACCTTGTGATTTCATAAGGATACACAAGAAGTCTGCACTCTCCCTTTCCTGCTTTTTCAAACTGTGTCTCAAGAGCCAACAAGGCTTGTGTGATCAATGAGCTTCTCTCTAAACCTTGGATAACTGTTGAACTTCACAGATAATATGTATCTCCAGGATAATTTTCTATCCACCACCAACTTCCACAGATGGATAGAGGTCTTAGTGCTATGTTCCCTGGAGTGCCATGGGAGTAGGGGAAAAAAACCCAAAACAACCAAAATAAACACCACAACAAAGAAAATCTCAACTAGTTCCCTTCCTGAAGCAGCAGCGTCTTGGTTCTAGTTGTCTGGCATGTGTATATAGCTCAAAACTAGCTACAGCCAAAACAACTCCTGACTAGGCAGTAATTAATGGAATAAAGAGAGAAAATAAAAGTTTTATGTAATCAGGAATACAAAGAAGACAACAGAAAGAAAGGTTAGAAGTACTCTATGACAGTATACAGAAAACTTTCTAATTAGCTCATGAAATTACATCTGGGACACTTCTCTTTCAATTACACAATTTCTCCGCCTAATAACACTTTGTAAAATGGCTAGAAAAAGTTTGCCTATTTTTAAAACAATTTGAAATTATTTTGGAACAAAGAAAAAAGATGCAAAGGTTGCAGTGTCAATGACCTTGGTATACTGTCAGGCTTCCAATATTCCTATGAGTGGTTAACACCAACAAAGCAAATGAAAACACACAAATGTAATTCGGCCTTGGAATTAAAACCCAAGACTAAATAGGAGTTTACAAAAATTATATTAAAACCAACTAAACAAACAATTAATAATGAAGCAAGCCAAGCATTTAAACTACTAGTTCTACTTTCTCTGCAGGTGCATGAAGCATGTCCACATACCAAGACATTTTGAAAAGGAAGGCACAGTATTTGAATAAGGTATGAACAAAACAGCTCAATTTAACTAACTTAGCTTCTTACCTGTCTAATTTTAGTCAATGGCTTCTTCTCATTAGGCTTTTTAGGTGCACCACAAGACTTCCTGATAGTTAAAGGCACTCCATATTTTGCAGCAGGTTTGGTAATTTTCTGAGCTGGTGCAACTGAAGTCAGTGTTGGTTCTTGAACTGGTCTTTGAGCTGAAAAGAAGAAAAACCCTACAATGAAAAACCCCTGGTTTTGAGCTACCCAGGCTGGCCAGTGTATGGTATTTCCCTTTCCCAAAGTCTTAGAAAGCAAAACTAGAGAAAAACGGGTGAACCATGTGTCAGGGACCAAAGTTGTGTCAGAGGCCCTGCCATATTTGGTCTGCTCTTGTGCACATCCACAAGACAATGAGGAAAACTTTACTGTGTAACTGGTGGGAACTTGACCCTTGAATGAGAAACAATGCATTGGTCCATCAGTGGGAACTTAATCTGTGAGAGAGGAGCAACGCACAATGGAGCTGTTGTTAGCATGCAGGTAGGATCACGAGCCACTCTGGTGTAGCTGGAAAAATTCCACTCCTGAGGAGAAGCCTTGAGGTGTGGGTCTGGAGTGGAGGGGTGACAAGGATTAGATGCACACTGTGGATCCAGGGGATGCCCTGAAGGTGCTCTGCCTGCCTGCTCCCTGCATGAGCCCCAGGCTCTCCATGTCCTTTGCCTGCCCAGTGGCTTTGCAGGAACCAGGGGTTGGTATGTATTATTTGCTACTGCTACCAATAAAAGAAAACTTGCTCTGCACTCACAGCTGGGTCTCGAGTTTGGTGTGCATGGGCATCCTCCTGACCCTGTAACAAATCACTAACACTTTATTCACATAAGCTGATGTATTAGCTTGTCTAAGTTTAATGTTTGATAAGGAATAGAAGAAAACAATTCCTGTGCTTTTACTTCTTAATCCTTCAAGCTGTATAACAGACACTTTACTCAGCTGCCTTGCTTAACTACACAATGCTCATGTACACAGGGAAGAGGGCTCCTAATGGAATGGAGAGACAGGCCCTTCCCCACTAACAATACTGAACTGAAACCTGGAATGCTAATGTCCTAAAAGAGCTTCAATGGCCTTCAGGGATATTGCTTTCCCCATAGAGTTCCTGAACATGCACCAATATTGTGGGTTTGATTCTGGGTTAGCAGGGCTCTCTTACCACAGAATAGGAGGTCAGCAACACTATGAAAAGATACCAAAGCCCTTGCCAGGGCATCAGATAATTACAGGGAAATAAAATACCTGGGAAGGAAATCTAGGGGAAAAAAAGGGCAAACTAATGCAGTAAAATTAAGTAACACCATCTTGACAGAATTAATCTTTGTTAACAATAGCAGAAATTTTGCTGAATTAGACTGAAGCCAGGGCTTTATCTTGGAATCTCTAATGAAGCATCCCACATTTTTTTGGAAGAAATCATACTTCTCATTAGCCATTTTTCATTACTAAGGGATAAAAATAAGTCATACAATCATAGCATATGAATTAGTTCCATTATTTGCAGTCTACACTGTCTCCCTAAATTAAAGACCCATAGCTTGTATTTGTATCATTTGTATCCAACATATGTCCAGCTCCCCGGGGGACGGGAGGTAATTCCTCATCTCTTTTTTTCCTGAAAATCCTACAGTCAGGTATGAGAGCACACAAAAAAACCCTAGTAAAAGAACAAAGCTACATAGACATCAACTTACCTGGTGAAGCATGTAGTCCAAACTTGTGGAAAATTTTGTGACTGAATTCTTCTGCAATAAGCTAAACAAGTGGAAGAATTAGTCAATAGTACTTGTGGCCAAGGCTAGGAATAACTCATTTTCAGACAAGCGTGCCATTAGCAGTAAGCATCTAACTAAGAGCATTTACTGTAAATTACACAAAAGTAAATACTCAACTTTAAGCACTGAATCTAGTATTACTAGACTCTAGTATTACCAATATGGAGCTGGAGTATTTTCAAACATTTTTGGCATAATTACTCAAGTAGTTTTAAAAAGCAATTTAGTCTGACTTCTGGGTGGCACACGTTATCTCATTTATGAACTAGCTAAGAATCTAGGAAAAAAGTTAATGTGAGCATCAATACAAGTTTTATGCATAATTAATTTTAGATTTCTGAGTAGCTGCCAAAGTTCACCTCAATTTCTCATACAGCTAGTGTCAAAAAATAGTTCTTTAAAAATGCTTGCAGTTTTAAAGTGTTGCTATCCTTTTCAAGATGGGAAGATGACCACATATGTGGGTATCTGGAAAAACACATATGGTGTGCTGTAAGGCATATAAAATTAGCATAATGAAATATGGAAAGCAGTCCTACTGAGGTGAAAAATTTGAGACAAGACAAAGAATATTCAAATATTAATAGGCCATCATCTTAAATACTGTAGGTAGTTCTGAACCAAACACCTCCAAACCTATATAGCAGAAGTGAAAACTATTCAAGGAAGAGCAGCAAGGATAAATGAAAAGTGTCAGTTCAGGAATAGTCTTCACAGAATCTTGAACTACTGAGATTCCTTTGATTTGTACCAGTCAGTTACAATGGATGCTGAGGAGTTAAAGCTTAAAAACAACCCCAAAACAAGAACCAAAGTGCAGAACTTAGGGCTCTGCACATAATGGCAAAACAAATTTTTAATCTGGAGAGTCTGGCATCAAAGATTCTGTAAACCAGAAGGCACACAATTTCCTACAGTTTCTTAGTAATGGTATTTCAATTATCTTGAAGCTTCTATTTGAGTGGTAAGCTGTAGCAACTGAATTATGATGTTTCCACGATAACACCTTTACTGACAGAAAAGAAACCTGACTCTTTAGTATCTTCTAAAGAGTCCCCTCTCCTTTTTAAAAATTAATGCTAGTTTTGATCTGCTCTTTAATGCAACTTAGTAACTATGAAGGTAAAGAAAGAATTTACATAAAACTGGAAGATTGATTTCCTGATATTTAAAAATGGGATTTCAGCAACAGTTGCAACATCTTGAAGATGTCAACTATGAAATAATTTTTAAGCTTAGACTAAGGAAAACAGAAGACAACAGCACTAGCCATGGATGATACTTTACAGCTGTATCACAGAATGACCACCTCCTGCTGAATATGAATGTACCAAACTGATATATTTCATAAAAGGTGCTTTCTGTGAGGGGTTTTTTTTGGTTGTTTCAAATATTAGATAACACTTCTAAGTCACACACAGCAGTAGTACAGTTGGAAAAATTGCATCTAAGTATTCATACTCCCTCTAGGACAAACTAGTATCACCATCTGGAGATAGAGACAGCCCATTACTAATTATACTTTGACTGACTAACTCCAAATAAAAATTTCATATCCATTCCAGCTACTGGAAACAAGACCAGATCAAACTATTACTGTTGCACTTTTAGAACAAAGTTATCTGTAAAGATTTCTGAATTTTACCTTTCTTTGGGACTTCAATCTGAAGTAAGCTGAAAGTCTATTTCAACACAGAAATTCAAATTATATATAGCCTTTTCAAGATATTTCTTTAGTTGTGAGTTAGAATCCATTAGAATTATTTATACTGCACTTCCTTCATGTCCTTTCTCTTCTATATTTATTTACCTCATACCTGTACTATTATTCACTTGTTAATCTTGATCTCTTTTGACTAGGTTCATATTAAAATGACATTATTAGATATAAAATAATATGAATAGATTTTAAACAGAATAGGAAGTAACTTCTTTGAGGGTACATACACATGATACATTTAAACCTCAAGAAATTCAAAGATTATTTAACTTAGCATTATTTTCCCCAACAGGCCCTCAGGCCATTCCAAAATACAAACAAAAAATGGATTGAAGAGATTCTATACAGCAATAATGCTGAAATAATTGACAGCAGCATTTTATGAAAAGATACATATCTAAACAAATCATCTCAGTACTGATTCCTCACTCTATAGAAAAACACACAAAACAATGCACTTCAGAAAATGTCACTTTGGATTTACTTATGGAAACTACAAAACACTTACTAATTTGAGACTTTTCTTTACAGTCCATTGTAAAACTAGTTTTTCCTCAACTGACCCTGTCTATAAGAAAACTATTCTATGGAAAACTATTACTCTAGTTTTCCATGTAATATGCTAACATTAGGATAAAGAAAAAGGAAAGTGCTATGATACATTCATTAGCAAAGTTAGAATTAAAACTGACTCCATACCTCTGGTGTGAGAAATTTTTCAACCCGTTTGGCTAGAAAGTTTTTCTCCAATATGGAGTTTACTGATGGTCTATTCCTGGGATTCCTTTTAAATAGCTGTGACAGCAGATTACGTAGGTCATAGGAGTAATGCATAGAAACAGGAGGAAAAGGCCCAGAGATTATCTTCAGGACCAAGTTCTTCATGTTACCAGCTTCAAACTGTATCACACAAGGAACAGAACAGTTACTCTTATCACCTGTCCTCATGCAAGGCTGCACATACAGATGATGAGGAAACCAAGCCAACAGTGTGCGCCTTCCTTTGCCTCAACACACACATTTTCAAGGCAACACACACGTTTTCAAGGTCAACACCAGCAGTTCAAAATAATCTGTTGCCAAGTATCCAAATTAAAATTCCAATTAAAAATACATCACAATACAGGTATTTCATACTATGGAGGCACAATGCTGCTAACAAGTAATTACCTGCCTCCAGATCTAGACTGACAATGATATATAGCTAAGGAAAAAATAATTATCTGCTTGATCTCCTCTTCCAAAAGGCTTTGAACCACAACATGCCTTCTGCCTTTTTTAGCAAGCCCCTATTACAAATTAGAGAATGTGAGGTATTCACACTCATTCAGGGTGAAATCCAAGGGAATGCTCAGACTTCAGTTTAAGCTCAGGTAACAGAGAGCATCATTTCAATTCCTTTGTACAATAAAAAGAAAACAATATGTACCACCCAGATTACAGAAAACAAATTGTTGACATCAACTCCCCGAAATTAAACACTGTCAGCAGAACTGCCACATAAAATATCAAGCAAGAAGAAATTACAAAAGCTTGAAATTAACTTATATTCTTATCCCTTGAAAATAGTTCTTTCCATTTTCATGTTGTTACAATCTTTTTCTTTTAACAAAAACATTTACTAAAAAGCTCCAAACAAAATCCACAAAAAAATATGTGGAAAGGACAGAAAAAACCCCAAACATTTTCTTCCCTTCCTAACTGAAAAATGCATGATGAAGACATACTCTTCAAACTATAACACACATAGATAGAAGAAAAAAAAACTGGAAAAAGGCAACTCTTCCACATTGGGAGTTTTTTATAAGCACTATTTCTGTTCTAAACAGAAATACACTAATCCATCTGCAAAAAAGCAGAGTACAAATTCAGATTTTCAATGAAGCTTTCAATGAATTCAAGCTTTTTTGGAATAAAACCTAACCCAACCAACCAAAAATCCCAAACAACAACAACAGCAAGAAAATCCCCAAACCAACCAAACAAAAAACCCTACAAATGCCCCCACTATTCCTAGTATCCTTTATTATAACAGCTAACAATTTTTTCACCTAATACAATCCATTAAAAACAAAAGTGCCAACAGAGCTGAGAGACTGGCATGCAGCAAAACATCAATGAAAAGTGTTACTTGGCACAGAAAGTGGAGATGAAAATGCTGAAGGTAACTTTCAAACAGCTACCATGAAAGCATTTCATCAACTAAAATATATCTGCGTGACATCAGAAATAAATTCTGTTTGAAATCACTATTGTTTTATAGACACCAAGTTTCTACTCACCGCATGTTTAAGTGTACACATTTCATAGAGAACACAACCAAGGGCCCAGATATCACTAAATCAAAGAGAACACATTATTTTAACACAGTTCTAGGCTAACATTGCCAGTTAACTTGTATCTCTGAAGTCTATCTCTGAAGAGGAAAAGGGTGGATTTTTGAGTATGCACAAGCTCCCCTCTATGGACTTCTTTGACCCTGCAAAACCCCAAGGAAACAAAAATCCCCAAACTAATTAATTAACCAAAATAAGGCCATCCTGAAAATCTGATTATGCTATTTTGTCATCTGATTTAGAAACATCTCAGCCACAGAAATCAGACAAAATATGGACAAAGGCTTTTTTTGTTTAAATACATATATTTGCCTGAGGTCTTGTAATTAAACAAACAAAATCCAAAAAACCCTCATCACCTAATTCAGCAAACACAATTCTCAAAGTCAATTTATTCTGTTTAGCAGCAACTAAACTTACCCTCATTCATTACAGGATTTGGTTAGAACACCATTGGATAATAAACCCCGCATAGAAGAAATTAAAGGGAAGTAATTGTAACAATTTTTATCTCTTAAGAAATTAATGGAAATTATAATAAGGCATTCACAGCAATAAATGCAACAGATTGGTACTGTGCAAGGGTAACTTACTAACATTTAATTATTACCATGTAATTACACTGGGGACACTGTTACCAGGCTCAGGCTGCTGCCAGGGCAGCAAAGGGGTAAGTGAGGCACCTGGAGCAAGCTGAGTCCCCCCTGTATGCACATCACATGTGCACATAATCAAATTGCTGTGTTTCATCCTTAACAGAGTTTCACCTTGGTAGTGCATAAACAAAGGCAGTACAACCACTGTGCAGACAGGCAAAAGTAGAGCCACAATCAAGAACACAACTAGATCTAGAGCTTGGAGCATTAAGCTAAGCCATCTCTCCATGACATTGCTTTCTACTTCAGACCTACCTGTAGAGGTACAACCTCTACAGTGAAGCTCAGTACCTACTGGGGTAAGAGACAAACTAACAGATGCCCACCATCATTTGACTAGAACAGCTTGAAATTCCTGTAAGAGCTTATTTACTTCTTTTTACCAAAAATGTTTAATAAAATCCTTACTATACCTTTTATTGTTGTAAGGCTTGTTCTGACATATTTCAGGTGACAAATAGTACGGTGTTCCTATGCAAGTGCGTGCCAGCTCTGCAGTACTGAGACAAAAATAAGGATGGATGTTAACTGGTTAACTCACATGAAGCACACAGGTTGTGTTTTCCTTGATCAAAGCAATTTAAATTAAGTCAGAGGAAAAACAGTATCAAAAAGGACTTACCTGTTCAGAACCCTGGCAATTCCAAAATCTCCCAGCTGTATTGTTCCATCTTTGGTTAAAAATATATTCTTGACATAGAAATATTAAGAAGTCTGTTAATTAAAATATTCATACAATTGCACATTTTTTGCTCTCTACATGTTTTGAGAAGAAGAAAGTTTTCTACCATTTAATCCCCCTGAAGTCATTGTTACTTACTGCTATGGAACACCAGACTTATACAACTCCTACTTCATTAATATGAGAAAACACTACTTCACACTGTCAAACAATCTTTTTTGGTCCCCACATATAAATACATGAGTAACACTTGTAGCTTCATCTAATAGCCTCATCACTTTGTACAAATACATAAATCTCCTGCAGACTGAAGAAAAGTTTCCAGTATTAGAAATAAACAAACTAGGAAGATTTGAATGCAATCACTTTGAAAGACAATTCAGTTGAAAAACAGCCACCTACATACCTGTGACTTTATGTCCCGATGCAAGATTTTTCTATCATGTATGTGTTTTAGTGCTAAACAGATTTGTACAAACCAATCCAGAATCTATTAATAGAAGAAAATGCAACATCAACTTCATCATTTATCTAAAAACTTCCCTCTTACAAGATATTATCAAATCAGACTTTAATTACAACTGGATTTTACCCTCCTCCCCCTCTTACCCACTTCACTTATACCAAAGAATAATTAAAAACTTAGTAGTACTGTCACTTTAATGAAACCTTTTAATGAAGAATGCTTATTACCCAAATTTGATATTAAGCTTGAGACTATTTTCATTACCTATTATAAACCTAGCAGAGGAATGCAACATGGATCTGATTGGCTAAAATGCCTAAGATGTGGAACTTGGCAATTAAAAGATTGCACTTTTGCTGTAGCCAATACAAGTCTTCTTGCACACAGTTAATCAACCAAGAGTCCTAGGAAGCCTACTGATGCTCTCAGAAACTTATTTTACTTATACTAATTCTGTGTGTCTTAAAAGAAAAATATTACAAAGTAGACTTTGATGAGAAAAGCAACAAATGTCTAACCTAAAGATTATGAACAAGCCAACAATGCCCTTTTTGGGGTAAATTTGCAAAAATCACAATTTAAGAAGTGATTAATGACAAGAATTTTGCCATGTGAGTAGTAGTTTTATATTCACTACTTAGAAGTACATACATGACAAAATTATAGTATAATGCAAGACATAATTTTCACTTTTCTATTTGAAGTCTTTCTTGTAAAAAGTGAGACCAAATTAGAAAATTAGAAGTTTTACAAATTATATCCCAAATGTTTCATATACTACTAAGACTTTCCAATCCCAGGTAAACTGAGATCCTACTGGACACAGACACAAAAGCATAGAAACAACTTATAAACAAAGAAACATATAAGTCCTAACAAAATATCCACCCTGAATCCTACATAATTTATTTTTACTTAATTTAATCAAATCTGTACTTAAAATCCTCTCATTTATTCCAAACTATGTCACTTCTCTTTCACCAAAAATTACTTTATAACCAGTTTTGTGGCAAAATAAAATGTATTGGAAGTGTATCAGCAAAATATTAAATTTTTATTACTGGCAAAATGAACTTTTGAATGATGTCAACTCCATATTTCCATATTTCATATTATTATACTTACTATATTATTTTATACTTATGACACATGAAAATCAGTATTACGATACAAAAATCCTATGCCACTACATCTTAAAAAACTTTAAAAATTATTTCAGAGGTTTAAGGATATTCATGTTGTCTTTCAGTATTTTTCATGTCTCAGATTTAGTTCACTTCACAAGAGATCCAACTTTTAAAAGCATCTTACACATAGAGACAAAATCTCAAGTAACATACCCAGGACTTCCAACCATATTTTCTTTCTCTTTTTTTTTTCTTTGTGCAGTTGGTTTTTTGTCTGTGTTTTGGTTTGATTTTGCTTTTTAATGATATTACATTGACCAATAGCAACAAGAATGACTGTTTGAGAATCTCCTTTTAGATTAAGCAACCACATCTATAGCCTGAACCAAAATAATTTCAAATTCATGAAAAAGTATCCTGCAACAAACACTACAACAGCAGTTTGCTGTTACCTGATCTTCAGAGAACAGGATTCCTTTCTGGGCGTTTATCTTTTTAAATAGATCTCCTCCTTCACAGTAATCCATCACTATGTACAGACAGCCATTTTCTGTAAAGTAAAAGACAAAGTAACTCAAAAAGACAAAAGCAAGACTCTTCTTTACTTAACTTTCTAAATATCTTCACACAGTCACAGAAAAAGCAACAAAAAATTTACTTTTTCACATGCAGCTTTAGATGTAATTTATTAGTCTATTTTTTCAAACTTCAAGCAAAAATATGTTTATTATTTTGAGTTTCAAAACCTAATTTTTCCATTTTGGTAACACTGGACTATTTTGATAGGGAGGGAGAAGAATTACATCTACTGAACCAATGTTCCAACATGGTGCTCAAAACCACTATGAAATGAAAGGTGTCATTTTATGAACGCAATATAAAACCAATCTTTAAACTTTTTTCAAACATCCTATAGATCCCCCTACCCTAAATGGATCTTATGTTGCCTCTATTTGCCTTCTTCTTTCTTGGAATTTTACCTGGACTTGCCAGAACATGACAGCCATCAGTTTTCATACTAGACATGCAGTTTATTTCAGTCTGAAGAACAGTAAGAGAACCTCCAGCAAACAATGAGAGATGGAAACAATTATTTTCTCTTGTTTGAATGAAATCTCAGGAGACTTCAAAAATCCCATGCAAGTTTTCAGTAGGAGGTATGAACAAACATAATATATTTCATTCAAAGTTATGGTTTTTCCAGTTACTGATGAAAAAACAGATTAGGCAGAAGCAGACTGCAAGTTGCCAAAAGCGTAAGAACTACACTACTCACATACTAGGCATGATTTTGAGAAGAGATGAATAACTGCAGAAAATCAGTCACATGCTGGTCAAAGGAAAAAGAACCCCTATTTTATGAAAAAGTTAGTCACAACATTTAAAAACCTTTGAATTAAAACAAATTAAATCATCTAAGTCACTTAAACTTCACTCCCATAAAATGCTTCTGAAATCTGCCTTTCAAAACATCAAACTCTTAAAGTTTCTCCGTTTGGGTATTTTATTATCATCTTTAATTAGTGTCATTTTAAAAGATGATTCTAAGAGTCTAGATTTCTTGCACATCTATTGCAGAAATAATTTTCTTCTGTGAACTTTATATTCCATGTATTCAAAGTCAATGTGTTCTGGCCATAAAGATGCGACATAAATTCTCGTGTATTATGGATTACAGGATCTACCTTGTAAGAAAAAAGCAGTCTTAAAGAACAGCCCTCTACGACAAGGAAGAAAGCAGTGTGTATTTATAAACCTGAAGTGTGGCTGTGTAATATGATTATGTCACAAAAATCTAATTTAATGAAAAGACAAAGTGAAAGCCCTAGGCGAAAGACATAAGAAAGTCAGCAGAAAGGAAGGAAAGAAGAGACCAAAATCTCTAAATAGCAGTTCATATAATATTTAGGGGCTTTTAATAATATTTAATTTTTACATTAGGCTTTTGGAAACTTTTTTCTGTTCTGCCCATTTCCCAAGACATTCACTGTGAAGACAATGTGGAATTATATTTCTCCTTCCTTCACTGCCTGATGAAGTAAACAGTCCCATCTATTTTCCCAGCTCTGAAAGCAATTATATGGTTGCAGTTACTGAAGACTACATTCTAAGACAACAGACTTGGACATAAAACTGCTCTTGCTAAGTTATCAATACCCAAATTTAGACTGTAACTTAACCTACACAAGCATTCCAGTTGCTAGGGTATATTCAAGGAGACTTATGCTCTGGAGAAACAAGAGAATATCTTTCATTTAAGTATCAACCAAAACCAATACTATATAAGGTATCGTCATGAATATTTGTTTATTTGTTCCCCTTTTTCCTGAATTACAAATTCAGGAAAATTATTTTTAAATGTGGATGCGAATTCTGAAAAAAATATATTACTGAAGTAAGTAATAAAGGTATGAAAAATACCGATTAGAGAGAGAAAACTCCCTGACTTTTAGACTGTGTGCAGTAAGAAGTGCACAGAGTCACTCACGGTACTTCAGGTTTTACAGTATTAGTTCACCTTACCTTCAAATGACTCCCTATACAGGACAATATTTGGGTGTTTCATGTTAGCCAAAACAGCAACTTCTCTCCTTGATTCTTCTCTCTCCTTATTTGACATCTTCAGAAGGAAAAAAATGATTTGTGAGAACAGAAGTACAAAAAGAATGGCTCAGGAATTTATTAATAACAATTGCTTACCTTAGAGATGTTTATTTCTTTAATGACATACTGCTGGCCATTTTCTTTAGCTCTGACAAGTATTGCTTTCCCAAAGGATCCTTCTCCAATCTTCCGTACTTTGATATATTTATCCATAGTTCTCCTCTTAAGGCATCCTTACTTGAGTACTGAAAAAACAAACCAACAAACACAAAAAAACCATGAGCATGTTTAATTAGGTGTACCTTTTTCTCTAACTCAAAAGGTTGATCCATTTGTCTCTTCAGTTGATTTTCTGTAAATCACCTACTCTTAGTCTCAACTCTATTTTGGTACAGTTGGCTCATTTGGGCCAACAAGGGCTGAATAACTAAAACCCTGTTCCATCCTTCATTTTGACTAAAAAGGATCTGTTTTGTCTTAAAATAAACCAGTGCAATCAGTGCCAAGGCTTCTGATTCAACTGGCACAAAAACATCATAGAGTTATAGCACCTGATTAAAAATGTTTAGTTCAACTTGGAAGAAACACAATGGAGGCAAGGGGAATTCCTATGCATTGTTTCTTAAGAAGCACTAAATCCAGCTTTTTATCACCATAATGAAACCAAAAATGGCCTGAATTCAACAGATCCCCATCATGTTTCAAATCATTATTCAATACAGAGAGGAGTGGGCTTAAGCCTGACTGAAAGACTCTTTTCACATTGCATATAAAACATACAATCACAAAATGGCACAAATCACTATTTTCCATGTACTATCTGACCATTCAGACTACCTCTTCATATTAAAAGGAGTACTCAGGTGAATTTTTATGGTATTTAAGGTTCTATATTAAAAAATACTTTGGTAAAAACAGGACACTAGGGAGCTGCAAGCAGAAGCTATGGCAATATATAGATGTGTCAGAACAGCACAGTGAAAGGGCAAAACAAAGACCAAAGTGACAAATATGCCAGCAAATTCACAGAAGACTAAGAAATTATATTTTTTAAAGCAAAAAGAGCTTCCCTACCCTGAGAAAGTTTCTATAAGCTGAAAAAGACAGAAGTGTCCTAGGATTTTCTTCACTTAAGCCTCACTTGCAAGAACTAATAGCATTTCTGCTTTGCTGTAGCCAGCTTCCTTCCAACAGGAGACCCTAGTAGCTTAGAGCCAAACTTCACACACATCACAGGTCTCACAATCAGGGTCTCTCCTCAATTTGAGGGGTTTTTTTAAATAGAATTACCATGTACTAGACATGGATGCTGCTTAACAGGATCTCTACCATGAAAGGAGACCAAAATGAATAAGCCTGATAAGCATAGCAAGACAAAACAAGAGAGATCTAAAGTAATCTGTTCTGCAAAAGAGGAGATGCAAAGCTTACAAAGACTAAGCATAATTACCAGGAAAGTAAAAAATTAAAATTACAGGCCTGCAGCGTTTTGGTAAGGTTGTTTTTTTATTTTCTAACAGCACATAAAGATAGTTTAATACGAAGTTGCACTTCTAAACATAAGAAGGTCTTGGTATTAACTTCAATATTCTCTTTCAGGCAACAGTAAAAGCACAGCAGATGGGATACAATTTGAACTGTGCATGACTCTGCTGAAGTTCTCCTCCTACTCTATGAAATAACCAGTTGCTCTACAGTTCAAACAGCTGCATTAGGCGTAGCTTAGGGCTGCCTCTGCATGCTGCTCCGCTCCGTGCCACTACAAATGGGCAGTACCCAGCCTTTGGGCGATAAGTCACAGTTCAGGCAAAGGGGTGTATCATCCCCCATGAGTTAGATGGCTTATTTTCACATGTGGCAAGGGAAAAACAGGCGTCCAGAGGAAGGGCATCAGCGCTGACAGGGCGGTGTCTTTTCAAGCTCAGGGCAGCAAGTCAGTTCATCGGACACGCAGGAGAGTGGCGCAAGTCACGCCCGAGGCAGCCCGCCCGACCGGAGCGCACGGCCGGGCCCGGGCCGGGCTGGGCAGGGGCCGGGCTGGGCCGCGCTCCGCAGCGGGCCCCGCCAGGCCGCCGCCCCCGCACAGCCAGAGCAAGCCCAGCTTCGGGGCGAGAGGCGCGGCCAGGAATAGCCAGCCCCAGGGCGGCTGGAAGAGGCCACCCGGTACCTGCCCGGCTCCCAGCGGGGCAGGGCGGCCCGGCCCGGCCCCACCCCGCCTCTGCTTACCCCGCGCCCGGGGCCCCACCCCGCCATACCTGCCCGCCGCGGCCGCGACTGCCCAACCTGGCCTCGCGCCCGGCAAGGCCCCGCCCCCATCCGCCCCTATTGGCGGCCCCGCCCCGCAGCTCGGCTCCCATTGGGCAAGCCCGCACCGGGGCGGGGCCGCGGCCCTGCCCGCGTTAGCGGCACTTCACCCTGGTAACGCGCGGCCGCGGTCACGTGACGGGCGGGGCGCGCGCGGGCGTCAGCGTTTTTGGGGGAAACCCCCCCCAAAACAGCTACGAGTGTTTCAGCAACGAGCCGCGACCCGCAGCGCCGTCCAGGCCGGCTCCGGCGGTACGCGTCTGCCCCAGGACAGCCCCGGGGCGGGGCTCTGGGGGGAAGCGTGCCGGGGCGGGGCTGAGCGCAGCGCTTACCGGGGAGGGTCGGGCTGCACCTGTGGTTCCTCCGTTCCCGACTCCAAAGCGCGCCTTAGTGGCACCTATGGGCAAGGAGCCTCCCGCCTCCTCAGTCCGAGTGCCACAGGGCACGGCGCCCTGCGGGCTCGTTAGCCTCGCACGTAAGCGGACCAGCGGGCATTTTCCTTAGGGAAAGAAAAAAAAAATCCACCCCTTGACTTGACACGTTTTGGTGGAACTTGCATTCGCAGTGTGTTAAGCGGACCCCAGACTGGCCTCAGCACCTCGGCTGGCAGTACCCAGGAGCTCCGTGCTCAGCCCGACACGTGCGTTTTCTCCGCAGGTAAAACCCTCAGGCTCTCGGGCCTCCGCAGCGCCTGGAATTTAGACGCGCCGGAGTTTAGCCCGAAGCCGAAGGATGCCGCGATGTTCCCGGCTTCACTCTGCCTCCTTTACCTGGGAAACCGCCTCCACCCCGTTCTGAAGCGCGGGGCTGTCCTGCCTCCCCCTGGGTCCTCAACCCGCCCTCGCAGCGAGGGTGCCCGGCACGGGCCCCTCCCGGGCCTCGGGGAAGCCGCGCCCCTCCGGGAGGGCGGGAGCGGGGCCGGACCCGCGCCGGGCGGACCGCGGGAAGCAGAATCAGCAGTGACGGCGATGCTGACCCCGGGGGCCCGACGGGCGCCGATTCTGCGCGCTGGCAATCCCCGCCCTCCCCGGGCCGAGGGGGCGGTGCCGGGCGGCGGAGCGGCCGCGGGTCCGGGGGCTGCGCCCGTGTCCCGCTGGCGCTCGCAGGGAGGATGAGCCAGCGCCTCCCCGGGGATCAGCGGGCGGCGCCGCCCGCGCAGGTACGGGCAGGGGCGGGGCGGGGCAGGCTCGGGCTCCCCGCGGCCCGGGGACACGGCCGGGGAGCGAGCGGGGCCGAGGCGGCGGGAGGAGGGGAGCGGGCACCCCCGCCCGCCCAGCGGGGCGGCTCCGGCCGGGAAGGGACGGACGTGGTGGCGCCTCGCGTGTCCCTCACCTCGTCCGTGTGCCTGCCCCGAAAGGCCGGGATGAGGGGGGGAATGCCCCGTGTGTTTACACAGTGTAAACACAGGCTGTTTGCACCGTGTCACCCCATCCCGGTGCTCTTCCGGACAGCGCAGGGAAAGCGGGGCCTCTGCGGCTGGCAGTGTCCAGGGTCTCCTCCCCAGGATTATTCTGCATGAGTTACTCGCTTTATGTCGGCTCACGGGTTTGGCTAGTAGGGCCGCTCTTAGACAAGGGAGAGAGGTCATAGGCTCTTGTTGGAGCCTCATAATTATATGGGCGTGCAGGTCACTGAGGTTAAAACTGAATATTGAGTGCTTTCTATCATATTATCTTCCTTACTTGACCAAAATTTTTCCCTGACCTAGCCAGTACCGTGGAAATGGCTGTAAAACAAGTGTGTATCAATTCTCGCTTGAAATGAATGGCTGTGAATGTGACAGTGGAAAATTGTGTGCTGATAGTGAACTATGTTCTGTGTAGTGTAGTAAATTTGCTGTGTCACACTTTAAAGTACTAAACTAGGTAAACTAGGGCCTTACAACCAAATTTAAAATGTTTCTGGGTCTAACCTATGTTAGAATAGATGCTTAAATATTTTTGGCAACCTACTGGTAAATGGTAGTCATTTGGGCGTGAGGACTTGCACCTCATTTTTGAGGTTGTGGGACCTCTAAAGCTTCTAGTGCTGAGTTTGTGGAAGAAATTGTCAGGTGAATGTGTGCCTTTTGCTTTTAGATGCTTTTCTTTTTAGTGGACCTGTGAAGGGGTTTATTTTCAGTATCCCTTAGCAACAGAGATACTTCTTTGCAGATACAGCTATTTGACTGAAGGATGTGTTGGTATGACAGATTTGAAAGCAGATAGTCATCAAAACTGTTTCTCTATTTAAGGAAATGTCAATATGCTGTAATGTAAAATTTTAAAAAATATTTGTGCATTACAGGAAACATACCTTTGTGAAGAATAATAAAAGAGAACCACCAGCTGTCGCTATCACTTTTGCTAAAATAAGTCTTTCACTAACTACTGTAAAATTGATATCTCTTTGGCTGGCAAACTTGCTGCAAAGTTGTCAGAGTGGGAAGGACTTCTGCTCTGGGAAAGCTACAGGTAGCTTAAAACTTATAGCTTGAAACACAATGACTCTGCATCTCTCTGCAACACATGTGAAAACAGAATTTACATGGTGTTCAGAAAAATGGAGCTTGTTTCTTGTTTAGTTCTGTTTAGTATTGGTATGTGGTATGTCAGTCCTAAAAGTTCTTTGCCTGATAATGGTAGATGTTATACAGAATGTGCATTGTATGTTCCTAGAAACACATTTTACTTGTTGTATTCCAAGGTTTTCTTTGCCCAAAATTTTAAAGTGCCCTCTTTGAGTCGTTTACTATTCCACTGTTCTCTCTGTGGTGCAGACTTTCAAGTTAGAGTAATCCTGGGTAAAATTCCCCCCCTTCCTCCCTCTTCTCCCTTTGTAGTAAGAACAAGCCTATCCAAATTCTTGACCAGGAAAGACACTTGAAGCTGTTGGCTTTTGCTCTTGGTGACTGCATTGCCCTGAACCACTTTATTTTATGAACTTGTCATCGTTTTTCTCATGACCATGTTTATACTTCCTGTTGTGGTGTTTTGCACACAAACGTTTGTAGCAAATTGGTGTTTGAGTAACTTGTGAGTGAAAACCCACTGTGCTGGTTATTCTATGAGCAAGTGGGTCTGGCTGTGCTGTATATCTTCTCCTGTTCACTGAATGTACAGTTTGGCTTTCCCCCTCACGCACACTTTGCTTTGGGATCTGTGTGTGTGTCTTACCTTGAACAGCAGAGTTGCATTCCTTGAGTGTGAGCACTAAAGCTGGGACAACTGTTCCAAGTTCACAATCATTGCCAAAAGGCATTCTAGGAACATTGAGATAGTTTTTTCCTGCTCTTATTTAGCTGACTTCATATACATGTGAATAGGTGTAACTGTACAGATCAAGATTTCAGGGTAAAGTCTTATAATAATTTGGCAGTAGGGGTATTTTTAATTTGGTCATACATTAAAAAGGTAGAGTAGAAGCTCGACTGCTGAAGAGATTTGTGCCAGAAGTGATCGTGCCAATTTGAGTTAATTTCCTAATTCTCAGACTATTTTGCATGTTCCTAAATTTCTTGCTTTGGCACCTTGAGAGCAGCAGTAACTCAATAAACTCCAAAAGTTGTCAGCAGTGGCAGTGATCATGTGCATGGAACTGTTTTTGTACTCTCCCTGCTTATTTTCCCAAAACTAAGATTCCAGCTTAATGCCTGTGAGCAAGTTCCCAGTTCTGCCCTCCTCATTGCAGTTGTTCCCTTGTGTCATAACTTCAAAGTGCAGGTTCTGTGTTGTCTGACTTGCCAGAGCTGTTCAGGTGTCAGCTCAGCTTTTTACTGTGCTTGTGGACGAGGAGGCTCTGCAATACAGTACTTTGTGCTTGTGTTTAGGCCAAGCTTTGCAAACTGAAGATGCTCAGAAAAGTAGAAAGTTGACAATTACAAATTTTTAGAGTTAACTTGAAGCTTGTTTTTTGATTTTTGGAAGCCTTTATGAAAAGTCAGCTGAGAGAATAAAGTCTAGACAGAACAATACTCATTTAAATTCACTGTGATAAGAGGGCTGTAAACAGATTTTCTTTTCTGCTGGAAAATGTGCTCGGCTTTAGAAACATAGAAACTGAAAAATGTAAATTGTTGAGATAGTCATTAATAAATACTAATGAAATAAATACATACTTAATGAACTGATATTTTTTATTATTGGAGAAGGAAGTTGATGAAGTAATTCATAGGCTTCATGCATAATAGAAAGAATTCTAAGCAAAACTGTTAAAGTGGTTACGAACCTGTTTACATCTGGAGTACCCTTTTTAGTTTGTATTATGTACTAGGTAGTCTTGAGTGTATATTCCTGGAAATGTAAAGAAAAGAGTTTATAACTTCATAGTGGGTACCAGCAGTTACTTTTAATAACTTTCAAAGAGCGTAGTCTGCAGTCAGGTATTTTCCCCTTGAACTTTCTAGGCATTCAGCTGTTTTGTTTGTTAAGCATTTTCCTTAGGCTTTCTAGTTACAGGATTAGATTGTACTTACTTTGTGGGGCTAAGGAGGACTAGTAAATGAAAAAGTGACTTAACTTCAGTCCTGAAGCACAGACCCTTTGATGAAAATAACCTTTGCGTAAGGTTAAATAACCTTTGTTATTTTTTCTCCTTATTTTTGATATATTTTGATAAATTTCTCTAAAAATTTGAGAGAAGATGAAGTACTCAAATGTGTATTTAGCATGTTCATACTGCAATAAGTACAATGAAGAAATGTTTCCTAATTGAAATAGTAAAAATGGCATTTCACTTCAGTACTTTGTTTAAATTCCAGATAGAGCTACTGGGGTGATTTAATATTTTGACATCCTGCCAGTTTAAATTCAAGTACTTGTTTTCCTGAAAGATAAGTTTTTGTTTGAGTTCCTTCCACTTTTATCTCCAAATTAGTGTTCTCTGCCAGATTTCTTGGATTTTGATGTGTTATCTGCAGTTTTTGATCTAGTGCAGCTTTTTCCCCTGAGTTTTCCGCTTTTAATTTGTCTCATGTATATGATGGGAAAAAAAATCTGTTCTCCATGTGCTTCCAAACACAGTCATTTTCTGATTTTGAAAACTGAATCTACGGATTTCCAGAGTATATCTAGGAAAGAAAATTGAAGATTGCTTTAACTGTTATTTGACTTTTTTTGCTTCTAGTCTTGCAGACAATTTTGTGTTACTGTCACTCTTACAGACTTAGCAGTTTTCATTTGCTTTGTGCTGAGACACGAATATTCTTTTAACTTAGACAGTAAAGCTTCTAAGACATCTGAGAACACCTAACAATCTGTGCACTAAGTGCTTATGTCATTACCACAGTTAGAAAAATCTCAGTTTTTATTCCTAAGAAATTTTAAAGAATGTTTCTTTTATTTGGATAGGTAGAGGATGGATTATTTTTAATAAATTTGATCTATGAACTCAGCAAACTGACCTCATCTCTGTGGTTATATAACAACACATTTAGGATAA